CTACACAGGGCCGATGCAGCCGGCTCCATAAGTATTTGAATTGCAACAACATTTGATGTTTTGGTTCGGTACTCTTGATGCTCTGGATGCGAAAAGACACAATGACTGTGAGATTTAAAGGAAAAATCCGCCCACGGATCCTCCTACGCTGTTAGATATCCAACATCAATCTGTGATGTTCACTGCATTTCAGGAGTTATTTTATAATGAAGGGCTGCCATTATTATGCTTTTTTTTTTTTTTTTTTGTCGTCTGTCAGCCTTCATTGTCTAGCTCCATTTCAGGTAGTGATTCATTCTCCACAATTGTTTCACCCGTTCCTAAAACAATCCAGCAGCTGCGTTGCATCCTGGTCTGTTCTTACCAGTAGACGTTATTATTATTCCTGTCTTTACTACGATCTGTTGAGCACCAAGGACAAATAAAGAGGAGCCTCGATATGCACAGAGAGAAAGATTCCTGCCGAAAACATTTTCATTTTACCTTGCAGTCAACCTTCCGTCTGTCTAAACTCTCGATTTAAGCTTTTTAACCTCCTAACCTACATTGAAGCCTATTGTGGCAAATAAATGACAGCTGTGAGTAGGAACAGCAGGCGTGTCCAACTCTGAATTCCTCCGCATGCTGAAGCCGCCGTACAAGTGATACTCTGCATTTAAACAGTTTGGAGGACGGCGTCCTCATTTAACCTGTCGGAAACACGAGAGCAAAGGTATAAGGACACAGTTTGAATGTTTAAATAAGCAAATGAAGTATTATAAATCTAAAAACGCCCTAATTTGTTGTAATTTCCAGAACAGAAGCTCCAAAACTGGGGTCTCATCTTGCTAAACGTTTTTTTCCCGATATCTCTTTTTATCGCTATCAGAAAATACTGTCAACAGCCAGGAGGGCGGAAAAAAAAAATCCATTTTCATCTTGCTTTTAGGAATAAAATGTTCTATAAATCAAGCTGTGAATGGGACATGAAAAAAAAAAAGTCCCTGAGCAAAGACCTTCAGAACATCCTGCAGATCTTAATAAAACCGGAAAGTTTGGTGAATGTAAGTGCTGCTGAAGTGGACACTTCAGAGGAACAGTCGGCCGTTAAAGGCGTCTATTGTGATTGAAATCTGCAGATGCAAATAGACAACGAGGAGCACGACAAACACGTAAATGTGTACGACGACTGCTAAGACATGATCCGGCAGCAAATCCTCAGAATCTTAGAGTTGACCAACGCATTAAAAAACGATGCTTCTGCCGCTGAGGCTGACAGTTTGTTTGCTGAGCAGGGTTAGCTTTAGCTTCTCACCCGCAGCATAACCAGGGTTCCCACTCTTTCCCTGGAATTATTTTCCAGGACTTTTCCAGCCGCTACAGACACATCATACACTGAAACATTCCCTCGTCCCCCTCATTCTTTGGACAGTTGTAGCTTCCATTTATCCCCCGATTGTTTCAATGTTTGTTACTCAGACGTTTGATTATAATTTATCTATGAAAAATAATTATGACAAATGCATCATAGAATAATGCAAACACACCCACAGATTACAGCCTGATAATTAGCATGACAAATTGGGAAGACAAATCATTTTCCAGGATAACTTCACCGTTTCCAGGACATTTGACCTCTTTTCTCATTTTCCATGACTGGAAAATTGCTCAATCATTTTCCAGGTTTTCCAGGACACATGGGAACCCTGATAATATAATAATAGCATGTTTGTTGTATGTATGTAGTCGTGAGCTTTGGGTCGTGACCGAAAGAACAAGATTGTAGATACAAGCGGCCAAAATAAACTGCCTCTGCCAGGTGGCTGGGCTCAGCCTTAGAGATAGGGTGAGGAGCTCGGAGTAGAGCCGCTGCTCCTTCACGTCGAAAGGAGTCAGTTGAGGTGGTCTGGACATCTGATTCAGAGGAGAGGCTTCCTCTGGAGGCCTTCCGATCTCTCAGCTGGCCTGGGAACGTCTCGGGATGCCCCAGGCCGAGCTGGAAAGCGTCGCCGGGGGGATGGATGGATGGATGGATGGATGGATGGATGGATGGATGGATGGATGGATGGATGGATGGATGGATGGATGGATGGATGGATGGATGGATGTAGTTCATATTTAGGACCACTTTAACAGAGGTATAGCTTCAGAATGAGACCGCTCCTTTCCAGTGTGATCACCTGCCTCTGATCAACACTCAAGACCAAACTCCACTACCAGCTCGTCAGCCCAGCTTCACGCTACTACTGCTTCCCCGCCTGTCACTTCCAGAAACCCCCCATACTCTGATCAAGCCATCTGGTTCTCCTGCCTGTTGCTTCCCTTCCCTCCCCTCCCCAGGTGAAACCCGGTTAGTTCACCTTTTGTAAATAAACTCCTCCTTCGCGAGTCTCTGATCTCGTCCTCCTCATTAGCGCCTGCACCTGAGGTCTCCGCAAACCTGTGGCAGCCGGTTGTTCTTTCAGCAGCCGGAATCATTAAAAGACATTTGCAAGTGCAAGAATAGAAAGCTTGACAGGAATCTCTTTTTGTTTTTTTTCCACCACAAATTGCGATGCTCTATTTAGTGCAAAAACACGTGCATTATGTATTATTGCAGAGCTTGGCTTAAACGTACATTAACTTTGCAATTTTGAAAGTTTCCCCTCCAACATCCACCTGATCTGTCTGTCCTATGCAATATCACATAGTTGGATCTGATGGCTTTCTGACTCTTTAACTAGATATTCAAATAGTTTAACTACTGAGCCGCACACATCATGTTAATGCTCATCCTAGCTTTACTCTCAGACCTCCTTTTACCTACAACATCTTCCGCTAATGCCGTTTCTGTTTGTCTCCCGAGAGCAGCAGCAGCAGCAGCAGTGTCCGCGCTGCTCTCGCTGTCAAATTGATGCCAATTGACTGAGGTAGCTGTCCACACGGTGCAGCGAGAGCCAATTGACTCCTGACCCGCCCGTGCAACAAAGCACTGCCTCCCAGTGTTCCTGAATCAATATGGCCGCTCCGCATCACAGCAGCGCCCCTCAGATTGGCTCCCCCTGTGCTGACCTTCCCGAGAACCCGAGCGTGCATCGACTGGTCGGGGAGGAGGAAATGGACAAGTCCCGGTCTGCTCCCGCCGTAAATGCTCCAAACAGACAAACACTCGGGGACTTAAGGGCAGCCGAGAAACTTCCCATGGACTGGTAATTGTTTTCATGAGACACCAACCTGGACCCTTTGTGAGCATCTGGGTTTAGAATATATTCACGTACACTCTTGACTTTTTACTTCTTCGGCCTCGAGAGCATATTGTAGGAAGCCGCGGCGTAGAAATGGAGTGGAACTGCCTACTTTACGGCTCCATTAGGCAAATTATCTTTGTAAAAACGCCGTCCTATTTGACGGAATCACACACGGATGCTGCAGCGTAGAACGTGTTATGCTGCAGATTTGTTCTGTGAAGTTTTTGCTGCTGAGATGAACACATCAGAACATTTTATCTCTTTGGCGTCCTTCAGCACATAAAATAAGTGCATTTTATGTGCTTGATTAATGTTACTTAGCAGGATTTATACATACCAGTTGAGGTTTTTTTTTTGTAACAGTTCTGTTTATGTGAAGAGCATCATCAGCACGCTTGAAGTCTGGAAACCTTTAGTGAATCCTGCATCCTTGACCACATGGGTGCCGACCTAAAAACGCTACACATGGTCAGAAACTGAACAGCCTACATTCTTGCAGAAACAATAAGTGGAACTCATGAGTAATAAACCACTACTTGATTCGGTGCAGTCGGGGTTTGTGCAGTTTCAGCCCTACTTGGTCTGTTGTGATCAGTGGCTAGCTACTATTAGCTACAAGCGCTAACCCTCTTAACTCCGGCAAGTTTCTGTCCCGTTTTCCTCGCTGTGGGTTCATGTTTCACTGCAATATACAATCCTGCACCTCAACGGAAACAGCAAAGCCATGGTTAGAAGTAGAGAGAGCTCAAAATGTCTTGTGTAGTAAACCATAGCTATAAAGTCGTAAATTACGAAAATAAACAGAAATGAAATTTTAATTTCTTTGACTATTTGCTTCAAAAAAATTGAAAAAAATGGAATCAATATGTACAAATGTTTCCTACAGGTGTTAGCAATACTACATAAAAATGGTGGTGCTACATACTATAGACGCTTTACCATTTATATTTTTACAAACTAGGTGTTTTCTACAATCTATTGCTGAATGCATCGTTCACCAGTTTGCTGACAAATCTATGTTTATGCTTTTGAGCCATGATGCGTTTATTTTTAACAGGATCTGGTGCAAATTGTTCATTTTTAGTACACTTTTAAATCACACATGTAGAATAAAGCCAATTATCGCAATTTTAAGCTTATTCTTGGTTCATTATCGCCGCTGATACGCCACACTAAATATGTTTATGGGCATTTGGAGAGCAGAAAATCCAAATATTACTCCTGATTTTAGTATTTTGCTCTGATAAATGGCACAATCTTTATGATTATTGAGTAAAACATGCCTTTCAAAGCTGCCACCGGGGTTTTTTCACCGCGGTCACTTGCGGTGACAGATTTTGTCACCGCAAGTTTTCTAACTTTAAAACTTTTCGCCACTCGAGCGACTCGACAGCAACATTTAAGCATCTTTGTCTCGGCGTAACATTATCACTTCATTGTGACTTGTGAGACAAGGCAAGGTTTGAGGAGCTGCTGCTTGCGTTCGTCTATATGCTCGCACAATAGATTTGAGTTGAAAGCATTGTCATAAATCAATACTTCCACTCTGCAGAGGTGGAGTGGAATGTAATGCTTCAAACAGAGCAGAACGACACCGATGCCAGGAATGAACAATAGACCTGCCCATCTGTACATCTATATTTGTTTGACTTCTGTTTTTTTTCTTTCTTTGACACGTTAGAACTGATTTGCAAACCGAACTGTATATTTAGCTTTAAAATCACTCGATCTCTGAGCGTCGTTCCAGAGTCGGAGATGTTTGGGCTAGACCAACCGAGCGGCAGAATTGCTCACCGTCCGTTTTTGGATAGGGCGAACTCCACTCCCTCCCTTTGGAAAGGCATCAGGCGCTGCAGGAGCTTGTGAGGAAGGCCTGACAGTTGCTGTGACCATCTTGTATCACAGCGAGAGGTCTGTGGACCATTATCATCCATTTCCATTTCTAAGTCCTCATCAGTTTTCGGTCCTTGCTCAGTCATCCGGCTCTGATTTAAGGCTGCAGGGGAAAAAAAAATAAAAGAAACGTTACCACGAAACGTACATTTAGGAAGCCTTGTGTTGTGTTTAGCATACTGCCTGCTGATTTAAACAGGTTTTATAATAACGGTGGGTAGCATTCTGCTGCTGTCCACCACCAATGACAGGAACACCATCGTTAGAAGCTGCACAGTGGACACAGGAAGTCAGAATTTGAAATGAGATTGTAAAAGTTGCCTGTCTCAGCCGTCTCCGTCGTGTCGCCTCATCATTCTGGTCAAGTTTCGTGTGAACATCTTGGCAAAAACAGTGAAAGCCTCCCATAAGAACGGCGACACGGTGCTGTCTACAGTTAGATGAAAAAGTCACGCGTGGCATTTATGTTTATTATTGAGTTATTGCCAGATATTACATGAGAGCCATAATCAGTGGGGGAGCCAGACGTTTTTTATAGCGGTGGACACGCTGACTCACATCTGGGTGGCACACTGTCTCCGTTTTTTATTTTTGCTCAATTACTCTGATCCTTTGCAGAAGTACATGACAACTCGTTTACGTAACCCTCCGCTGATACAACTTTGATGTGGTTGCTCAAGCTTTTATAATTAAGATAAATATGATTTTAAATATCCAAGTACAACTAAGATTCATGTCAAACGTATTCAGGAGTAGTTGAGACATCACTCTGTGTCCGTCCAGTTTTTTTTTTCTTGTGGCTGCAGGTTTTGGGTCAATCTTGCATTCAGCAGTTTGTACTACTTGTTTCTAGAACTCTTCAAAGTAGGTTTCATCCCTGCAGTCTTCAAGAGTCCATCGAAGAGCCTCAACTAAATCCACAGCTAAGCTTACATCATACGCCCTTTAACTAATACCAACATGTGCGAATAAATTTTTTTCCCCCCAGAAAAAAACTGATGTATTCTTAGACTGTCGATACACTTTTCAGTCGCAATAATAGGAAATATCTGACTTGCTGCTAAATCAGCATAAGCATTTCCTGGTTGGTCAGGAGTATTTGGTTGTGTGTGGTTGAAATAAGGAGGCAATAATCCATCCATCCATCATCTATACACTGCTTAATCCTCACTGGGGTCGCGGGGGACACCTGGACAGGTAACCAGTCTGTCACAGGGCTACACTTAGAGACAGACAACCAAGCACACTCACATTCACACTACGGACAATTTACAATCACCAATTAACCTCAGCATGTTTCTGGACTGTGGGAGGAAGCCGGAGAACCCGGAGAGAACCCACGCTGCACATGTAGCAGGTTTTATCTGTGTATTCGGTGCATGCACACTCTTGCTTTTGTGACGTAGTGGTGCAAACACAAACGTTGAGGTCTGTGCAGACTGTCACACGCTTGGGGAGATGACAATCTTCACGTCATGTGGACTCTTGCAGATCGTTGCACACAAGTCTGATCAGCTGTGGTTGCGTTGGGTGGTCAGTTAGTCTGTCTGATCACCACCGCCAGCCTATGAGCTCTGCCTCTTTGAATGATTACTGGTATTATTATGACTTACGGTACTGAAACCTCAACAACCACATATGAGATGCATCAGAATCTGACTTTGTGTTTTGCTCCACAACAGCAAACATAAAGCAAATATACATATTTTTAAAGCATGTGTTGCAAATCCCAGCTATTATCAAGTAATACAGTTATTACAGATTAATTATAGATTGTGCAGGAATGTGTTGATCATTTGCCTGTAGTGTAGCTATTATTTGTACATTTGGGACACTGAGGCGTAGCAATCAACAACCAAAATGAGTGAAGACATGTAAGATGTCGTGATTCCAGTAGCAGCAAACATCTCTCATCACTTCTCTGATTTGTAAACTTTGTGGGCCCTACAGGACAAAACTAGCGAACTAGCATTTTAGCTGGAGCTAGCAAAACAAACAGAAAGTAGAGACGCTTGGCTGCTGCACAGATGGGAGCGCCACACGTGTGTCCGATAGCCAATTAGCTGTCTGATGTTGGGACCTCTACCAAGCTGTGTTGACATAAAGCACCACACATGCGTTGTCACTCAGGAGGGTCACATGTGAAGTGTTAGCTTAGCGACATAAGAACATTATCCTGGCATGTGTGTGTGTGCTGGTTTCCTACCGGCTGACACGGTGGGCTGAAGAGCTGCAGTCACTTAAACAAGCAGGACCGAACTGGGACACGAGAACAGTTTCGCGGCAAAACATCGGGGGTGCACTCGGTTTATGTCACCGAGGCAGCCGCTTGCGCTCGCTCACTGTCCAAACTTCCTGACACTGTGCAAATTCAGCCGCAAGCAAGCTCACCTGAAACCGTTTACATCATCGTGTTGAACATGTCGAACAAATGACGGAACCGTACGACAAACTGCTTGCGTGCGTGCTGCCATAACGCAAAAAAAAAAAAAAAAAAACCTGCAACGCGAGACGTGACATATTTCCAACAGCCTGCCTGCGTGCGGAGCGTGAGGAGCTGACGCACTCAGCAGCCCGCTGGACGCTGCCTCTCCTTCACTCCGCCACAAACACTAGCTGCTTCACCCTCGGTGGAGACAACGGCGGTGCACCGATTGTAAACCCGAAGCGGTAAGGAAACGTTAGATATCCGCGCGATCCTGTCCAGCGGCCGCCCGGTTTTTTGTTTTCCTTTTCGCCACCGATCACCGGGGTGGTTGTAAACATGTAACACGACGAGCTTTGTGGTCCGTAAACGCGTCTCTTTGCTGCCGTGTGACAGCTCAGGGCGCCGGTGTTTAGTCGTTTTTTTCAAGCGTTAGCACAGCCACGGCGCCAGGTAAGGATCGTTAGCTTAGCCACGACTCGATCCAGCCCGATGTCTTCTGTTGCTGCTCTTCGGCAAAAGTACACACCTCGCAAGCAAAACCGGCGTCTGAATTATAAGCAGCTGTACTTTAATTCGGCTCTAGTTCGGAAAACCAAACGGCAGTTAATAAATAATGCAGCATAATTCAATAACTTTTAGGCCTGCTCCGGCTGGGTCTCTCACTGGAATCTGCCGCAACGAGCAGTGTGTACTAACGGCGGTTAGCCCGCTCACTACATGGAGCTTTTACTGAATTATTACGCTGCTTTGCTGAATGTTTTATCAGCCGAATTCTAGTTACAGATGCCTTTTATCACACCAGAGTGGTTCATGTTGTCTGGGGTCCGCAGGTTTGCCGGTACAAAGGGGGGCAATAATTTCCAAGTTTGTAATGGAGTTTGGTGCGGCGGTGCCGCTGAGGAATAGCGGGCGCAAACTATATGTATATATAAAATAGCATTCAAGTTTAATTGCTCCAATTGATCGATCAGAACGATTGGTTTTATTTCCGATTGGCACTTTAAGCTTCCTCCGTGCTCTGACAAGGAGGAAGGTGTCTTGGTTAATGACTGTTTAACTTGTTAGTCGATGGGAGCAAAAGGAAAACACGTCCTAATGAATGACACATTTCACTGCGCAGTTTAGTCAAAGGTATGTGAGAGTTTACCAAAGGGCCAGAGAGGGTTGGTGTTGGATTAGGACCTACAAAATAAAAAGTCCTTGCTGTCAGTCAGTCATCTGAACCGTATCTCAGCTTAATTCTGTGTATGATCCAAATGAATGATTGAATGAAGGACTGACACACATCAGTTCAGTCCATCTCCAGCACTACTGTTCATAGGTGGACACTAAAACCTGACAGGGTTTGTCCTGTTCAGAGGCCGTAAATCTTCCATCCAATAACTCAGTTTAGCGCTTGCTTCATAACTAAGCTATAACCACGATGATTCAGACGCACTAAACCCAGACGATTATCGCCTCATTGACTCGGCAGAGATGGCAGCGAAAGCCTCCGAGTTGCCACCAATGAGGCTGAGCATCATGATGGTATCATTTTCATTAGGGTACCAGCGGAGCCTGGTGGGTGGAGAGTGGATGCTGGTTCGGTCCCTGCGGCTGCTGTTTTGGAGAGTGGAGATGATGTGTTAATCTGTACAGGGCTGTGCAGCAACATACTCCGTGTTGCAACTGCTTCTCTTTTGCAGAAACGCGACCATATTTCGCATCTGTGTGTGGTTTGAGGATCTTCAGTTTGGTTGTGCCCATGCTGGAGGGATGTGTTTTACTTGGTGGGTGGGTTGCAGTCGCATTAAAGTACACAAAATCTTTCTCTTGCGATTGTCGGCATTCTCTCCTCCAAGGCTTAAAATAAATGCTAATAATTGTTTGCCAAAACAGTTTCACCCGGCGGCCGCTCGGGCCACTGCAGCTGCTGCTCTGTTGACCATTCATTACGCAGGTTAGGGCGTATTTGGAGCTGATGACATTATCAGATATTGAGGTTGCCGTGTAATAGCGTTCACCAAAGATGTGGCCCGATGACTAAATAATTCATCGCCTTCCAGGGGGAAAAAAAAATCTCTCATTCCTATAATATTTGGTCTGGGCCATTAAATAATTCATCCGCCTATCCATAAATTGTTTGTTCAATTGGTGACCTTTTCATGGGATTAAGAAAGCACAATAATAAATTCTTCAGAGACCTGGCATAACGAATGGTACAATTATGAGGCAGGATTGGATCGGATCGTTTGTCGCAGCCTGGTGTTGGTTGCTAAGTGACAGCAGGAACTTTTCCGCCCACTGTGTTTGCTGTTAAAGTCTGAGTGACTGAAAGGACAAAAACAATCACATTATGGCAGTCTAGACTTGGGCTGCGCAGAGGACCTGTTTGTGACTTCTTGTGTCTTTGACAGCCTGTCAGTCACTTAGTGATGAAAGTGCTTCATGAAGTAGATTATTTTCACAACTCAATTATCACTCTTGTCTCCTTTGCTTGTACGGACGAGACACAATTCTTGATCTTTAATGAAATAAACAAGCCTAGTGAGGATGCTATCATGCCTCGTTTTTTCTAACAAATCCTCTGGAGTCATAAAAGGCAGATTTAGATGAAATGCGGGAGGTTAGTGGTGGGATTGGATCAAGCATGAGCTCACTCGGTGTGTTGTTTCGCAGCCCGTCCGCCAATAAGCTTATCGTAGATTTGCCTAAAGCAAAATGTCTTATTGCAGCGTTTCACTGCTCTGTTTCGGTAATAGGTGGTATTTCAGGTGGTGGCTTGATCTAAGTCGGTGGGATTTAGCTGTAGCCTTGTCTTCTTGTGTGAAAAGCAGGGTGCCAGCTTTAATGGGAAGGTAGCCCAGTGAACAGCTCGGCTGCTCAGCGGCCAGCGCCTCCCCATCGACTCTCCACCTGGTCTTTGAGCACCTAGCTGGCCACAGACATGTCGCTCCTGTCCCCTATCTTCTCCTCCTCCCTGTTTGTCGCCTCTCTTTCTCCTTCGCTTCCTTTTTGCCTCCTCTGCGCTCCTTTCTTTTCGCCTTCTTCCTTCGTACCGCTCTACCTCCCACCCTCCCGCTTTCTCATCTTCCTCCCGGTCTCCTTCCATCTATCCCATGTCCCTGTCTGCCCTTTCCTCCTCCTCCTCCTCCTCCTCCTGCCCCCGCCTCCATCCTAAAGCAGAGTAGCTAATGAAGAGCCCCATTTAGCCGGTGACTTTGGTTCAGTCAGCGCTCCGTAGTGCCGGCCGGCCTCGGCTGCCGTGACTGGCTGTTGAGGCTCTGACATCACACAGGGGCCAGCTGTTGATTTGGCGCTGTCTCCAAGGCTGGCTGGCTTGATGGGTTGTGGCAGGTAGACTTGTGCTCGCACAGCGCTCTCCCTCCCTCCCTCTCTCTCCCTCCCTCCCTCCCTCTCTCTCTCTCTCTCTCGTCCGCTCGCTCTCTCTTTGTGACACCCACTCCCCCTCGCCCTCTCCCTTTACACTCTCCTCTCCCCGACTTCCACCCTCACTCAGTCGAGCGAGCGTACAGGAGGCAGCAGGCAGCTGCTGAGGAGCGAGCTGGGAGGCGACTCCAGCCTCCTCTCCAGCAAATTGTGCCTCCTGTACAATGGAAACTAAGCGGTCGCGTAGCAGAAGGGATGGAGGGCAGAGCTGCCGGGCAGGTACGTCCTGCAGCGTCCAGCCGCTTTGACAGTGAGCAGACACGGATCGCGCATGCCTTCTCTGATTTCTGATGTACTGTTAACGTTTCTTGTGCCTCTTTTTCCTCCTGCTTCTCCAGCGCCTTCTTTGTCATGTGCCTCTGAGGCTGTTGATTTTTCTGCTATTTCGAGCCAAATAACGCATGTTCCATTCAGCGCTGTTAAAAACCAACAAGACGAGACGACCTCCTCCAGCTATTCCGTCTCTCTTATCGTTGCATGGCATCGTCAGTAAGCAACTGTGCAGGCTTTTTTCCTCTGGCTTGTTAAACTAAGCGCAACATGAGATTTGGTGGGCTGTCAGCGCCGTCTTACTCGCTGGGCTGAGCCAGAGCTTTCGAAATCTCCTGGCTAGTTTGCCAGTGCTGCTTCTGCTTTTCATTACGAGGATAATTAACCGAGATCAGCCAATAAGAGGCTTGGTTCTGCATTGTTCTCTAGCCAAGCTCGTCCTCTGTCTCCCCTGTTTCCCCTGTTTGTTCTGCAGGTGTTGCAGGCAAATGGACTTTTAATGACTCCAGCAGACTTTTTGAGTTATTCCTCTCTCATAAGGCTCCATAGATTAAAACTGCTAGACTTGCATGTTAGCTTTTTGTGTTTATTGTTTCTCCTCTAATTGCCTAGATTGATATTCCCTGGAAGCTCTCCTATGGGATAGGTAATGGATTACCTACATGCTCTGCTGTGGATTTAATTTATTAATGCTGGCTGGCTGCGCCTCTGCTGCGCCGCACCGCCTTATGCGACCTGGAGGCAGAGCGAGCAGCGCAATTAGAGACTCATTTGGTGCCTGTTTATGTTTTTTCTGTTAATTCAGTCTGAGCTATTACAGGCAGTTCCTTGAACTGACGCTGCCTCAGTCGTCTTGAAATTGAGGCAAGCAGTGTATGAAAGTGATATAATTTCATAGGCTTTACCCTAATCGTTTTTTGGTCCAATTATATAGCTCCCCTGTCAGTGCTTTCCTTGCTTTGCAATTAGCAGAAATGGCTAGAAAATGGGAGATTAGTTACTCAGTTAAGCAAAACACCAAAATCAATTTTATTGCGCTGCCACGAATGTGAACCGGCATTAGTAACCTAATTAATTGTTTATTTGACGCCTGATTTTATTAGTCAGGGTGCATGTCCTGCCATCTGCACCAGCCGATTTCTTCTAAATCTCTTTTGTCGGTTTGGAAGTCGGCGGTTAATTGCACAGCCGGGGAATGTTTGGCTGCTTGTGCTTCCTGCGGTCTGACTGCAATGTTTGAGAGATTCGCCAAACAGGAGCGGTGTAATTTTTATTCAGGAATGGCGAGGAGGTGAGACAAAGCAGACATGGCATTACCTTTGTAACTGTGTCTCAGCTTTTGTCTCGCAATGCTCCACTGAATAGAGCTCTGTTTAGTATTCTACATGTCTGCAGACAATATCCCAGCTGTTTGGCACCGCTCCTGCCGTTGTCCCTTTTTTATGTGACACTTGCAAAACCTCATCAGCACCAATAAAGCTTCGAATTATTTTTCCGCTCGTCTCTCCTGCGACTGCGTGCACAAAGCTGCTCCTAGTTCAGATTTTCATTGCTCTTAAAAATCGGCGATGGGTTTTCTTCGAGATCAGGAGCTCGTAAAGGTGATGGCTTGTTCTCTTCCGCCCCTTCTTTGACTCACCTCCTCGTTCTTTGCCGAGAATAGAGCCGGGGATGGAGTAGCAGATAGAGGGAGGGATTGAGGGTCCTTCACCTCCAGTTGAGCTGGTTATAGCCCAGACAAGAGCCCTGATCCACTCAGAGCTGAGCAGAACAGAGCGGAGTTGTGGGAGGGAAAGGTCAGCCTTTGCAGGAGAGAGGCAGGTGAGTGTGTGTGTGTGTGTGTGTGTGTGTGTGTGTGTGTGTGTGCGTTCGCGCTCGTCTAAAGGGGAAACAAAATAAGTGCGCTGGAGTGGCCGTTCCTCTGTGTGCGTTCCATCACCAACAGCCTCTTACACGCTTCACAGTGATTGAGAAATTTCTCATTAGCTTGCCATCGAACATAATTGTCCGTGAGAGTAGTCCGTTAAGAGGCCGGTGTGTGATTAACTCGGCTCAGTTGACGGCCACCCATATGACCTCGCTGTGGGTTTTTCAAGAATTAATTTCCATCAAGAATGTATGCGCAGGAGGACAGTGTGTGTGTGTGTGTGTGTGTGTGTGTTTGTGGCTGTGTTGGTTCCACCAAATCAAGCTGCATGAGATTTGAAATAATGAGATTTTACAGGCATTTTTCTTATTTGCAACTACAATTAATTATTTCCATGTTGCCTGTTTTCCTTCTAATTGAGCGTATCTGCATTTTAATGTATTCATGAATATGCGCTGTGTGCAGATGGGTAGGTTTGAGGCGTGTGTGTGTGTGTGTGTGTGTTTGTGTGAGGCTGCTGATACGCCATCGACCGTGGCGATAAAGGTGGTGTGAAGGGGCGGTGTGACACTGAACGATGCCTGAGGGAGCCTCTTTAAGGTTGCTGCGCTCTGCGGCTGCTGTAATACCAATGAACCACTCCCTGTCAGCTCCAGCACAATACTGGAGGACGCACAGGCAGGCGGAGCGTCTCTACAAGTTCGCCGCTGCGCGAGAATGTGTGCGTGTTTTGCAGGGCCGGGGTGTGTTAGAAGCTGTTGAGCACCTATCAAATGGGGATGCTTCCCTGTCTGTGGCTGTCAAAACATTTTTCTAAGGGGGGGTGTGCATTGTTTGCGGCATTAGTATTCAGTGTTTACTGCACACACACAGGCTCAGTGTGAAGTCCTGCAGCCAGCCGGCTGAGCCGCGGCTGCACTGTCCGCTCAGCAGCTCTGGTCATAAAACCTGGAGCGCCCACGGCCAGGCTCAGCCGCACCACTGTCAGAGCAACTTTTACACTCTGCATGTGTGTGTTTGTGTGCGCGATAGCTGCAAGGACCAGCACTGAATTACAGAGCAGGCTCCACATTTTTCCATTTCAGACGTTTAGCCGGCGCTACATTTGCAGCGGCTTGAATTGGCACCACTTCTGCTTTCAACTAGGAGCAACGAGGGCAAAATCTGGCGCCACAGCACCAAGATGATACTCCTGTCACACATGAACAACCATGGAAAAAGTGCTGGGCGCATTTAGAAAGAGATAAGAGTCCAAAAAAAAAAAAAAACGGGGGAGCAAAGGGGTAAAGATAAGAGGAAGAAGATACAGGTGAATCTGTCTTGAAATGGCAAATGTACAGTAATAGATAAGCAGGCTAAAAACTGCATTCAGTAGGTTTGCACTCTCCAGATGTAACGCTGATGAATGGATCTCGCCTTGGGTGTGAACCGTCCATTTGCCAACGCCACGAGGAAATTTACTAAAATGTCAATTCAAGCTCGAAGGATAGAATTCCCGTTTTAGCAACGACGCGTCTTAGACTCTAAATCTTGACTTGTAAATAACACTAAACGCTCTTGTTCGAGCCGCTCTTTAGGAGTCACTGCTGGGGGGGTTTGTGAGGCAGTTTTGAACAAAAGCAACACACCAAATGGCGCCTGTTCCCTGGCACGTCTCTGCCACCCATCATCTCCTCAGTCTGCAGCTCTGGCTCCAGGCGGAGGTGTCATGAGAAGGAAGATTATAAAGTGAGCACAGATTCCACTTGACCTTTTTTTTTTTTTTCCCTTCCTTCTTCTTTCCGGCTGGCACGAGGGCCGCACCGAGATCGTGTTGGGAGCAGCAGCCACACCTTGGCACCGTTGGGTGCCAGAGTCAGCGTGGCACCTCGCCTGCTCACTGAGACGGAGATTAGAGGAGGAGGGAGAGAGAGATGCAGTGACAAGCCCAGGCGTGGGTCAGCTGTAGGAGAATGTGCAGCATCGAGAACCGTGATGGAACCGATTAATCGATTAGTTGTTTGTTTTTATGAGCAAAAATTCCAAACATTTTTCCGCGTTTCTGCTTTTTTTGTGTTTCAAATCATTGCCTGCAGATTATTGTTCTGTTTTGAACTCCTGGTCAGGCAGAACAAGACACTTAAGGAAATTATAAAGGCAGCTTTTCTGCCTTTTCTTACATTTTATAGACCATTGAACAATCGAGTAATAGTGTAAGCAGCTAAGAGATTAATTTGAAATGCAAATAATCATTAGTTGCAGCCCTAATCTGATGTTTAGCAGCCTCATTTGGCAACAACACCCAACTGCAGCCAGTGAAGTGAGCCATAATGCCACATTTTTACAATTTAGGGAAGGAACACAGCTAATTAAGGCAGCAGTTCAACAGCAGTGTGGAACAAAGTGAATGGAAAAACACGGATTTAGTAATAAAGATGGAAATTGCTTTATTTTTTTTCTCCCTTCAGTACTGTGTCAATATTTTGCTGCTCTGCTGTTGTCGCCGTTTTCAGATGTCTGCCCTGCCCGACCAGTGTCACCCTGTAGTTCAGCTAGAGAGGAATTTGCTGGAAAATAGAGATTGTACGCAAGACGATTTGAAATTTATGTGCCACCAAATGGCAGAGGATTTTGAGCTGAGAAATGCTATCTTCTCCCGCTGCTCTCTGAATTCCTAATGCTTGGTTTTTACGAGGTTGGCAGGGGTGCCTTCTCCTGTTGCCTCCGCCGCACTCCCAATCTCTGTGCTCATCCATTATTTATGGCGCATCGGCACGCATAGGCCCAGAAATACACACTCACCACACTTTTACTTTTTGCTCCGGCACACAAATACTTCAGAGTTGCTGACATCCCGACTGCTGTCAGTCCACGTGACCCCCGGTGACAGAAGCGCCGCTGACCCCTGACCCCGAACACCGCGGCCCTAACCCCGTGCCTCTCTCGGTTGCAGGTCAGCAGGGGTCATGAGGGTGTCGGAGGCCCCGCTTGCTGTTCAGAGCAGCTGAAGCAGACATGGGCAAAGAAGTCTCGGATGGCATCGGTAGGCTCAGCCTCATCGACTTCACCAGCCACATCCTCCTTTGCCGCAACCACCACTGGCTACGCAACAAGTAAGTCTCTTCCTGCTTCTGTTTGTTTGATGGTCAGTCAGAGAGCTCAAATTTAAACCAGATTTACAAAACAGTGAGCAAAGATTACACGGCGTTCCCATTTATTCCTCTTATGTGACAGTTAGCGTCGCTAATGCTCCAATCAGAAGGCCTGAAACCCGGCAGCCACAATGAGATGACGTAGCTTAAAAAGCAGTGATGACGAGACATGATTGAATGTTAACAGTTCTGTTTGTTTTACATCTTTGCACGCTGATGTTTTTGTCTTTGGCGGCATTTCGTCCACTCAGTGGAGCGTAACACACCGATACACCACTTCTCCACCTCAACCAAATGTAAAAACTTCATATTTAAATAATTCAAATAACTGGTGGATGGAAGTTACGACTTGATAATCGATCCACAGCTACATGCTACGATAGGAGCAGATTTTTGTTGAATCTCACTGGTGGTTCATTTCCAGATGAGAATAATCAACCACAGTCTTATGTACTGTGAGTATTTTATACTGAGGTGTTTTTTAAATATTCTAACCGTGCAGTCGTTGTGAAAACATCGCAGCCTTTCTTGTATCGGCACGTTTAATATAAGAATACGCATTTTATTGTCAGAAATCAACGTTTTCTTGTACCGAATTTAACCCGCAGAGAACCCGACAGTCTCGTACAAGATCAGTTATCATTTGTCACATCCCGGCATCACGCAGCAAACTAAAAATAAGCAACGCATTTTCCTCTTTAATCTGACAGGATCCTGCTGTTATAGCCTAACCTTCCTCTCCAAAAAGCACTTTTAAATCTCACCTTCTAATAGTAAAATGCCATCAATAGAACACCTTTGCAGAACGGCGGTTGTGTTAAGACAACTGCATTCTGGTTAAATGGTGTTTTTGCAAAATAAATGTATGAATTAAACTCCCACTTTTGTACTTTTTCTGATGTTAATGGGTTTTTTTAAGCGGGGAAGATTCCAATTTTAAGCCTGTGAAAGTGCAGTAAAAGTTCACGTTTGAACACAGTCGATAGCTGAACCTGTGGAGCGGCTCACAAAGTAGGAATCAGTTGAGATCAAGTTGGAAGTTTGCAGCAGCTGCTTGTGCAATGATCCTTCACAATGTGACACTACAAAGTGAAGGGTACCAAGAATGCATTTGTTTTAATACACATATATAAGAGGGTGACGTCTGTTTCCAGTGTGGCTCATAAGAGACCAATTTGCTTCTCCCTAAATTCCTTAATGTAGCACTAAGGACCAAATGATGATGCAGATTACTTATGCAGTCAAAACATCAGGGATTCTAAACAGGCACACGTTGCAATTACCTCAGCCGCCAGAGACGAGACGGTGAAATTCGGATGGATCAAAGTCTGAAGCCAAATTTAGTCCAACACTCCGGTCCCATGATAAAATGTGTTTGGGAGAATGAGCGATTCGGTGAGGGACAAAATGGCTATCCATCACAGGCCCGGCTCTTGAAAATATCTGTCCAATATTGCAAATCTTCAACGGAGCGACTCAAGAGACTTCACTCATCAAAATGTCAGCAACAGACACTAAATATTCAAAGGCGTGCACGGCACTCTGGAGTATTAAGCTGTTTTCCTTCAGAATGTAAAAATAATGTAAAGCAGCAGCCGGCGTTGCTTTTGTCAAACCCTCTGACAGGTCATTGAAATTCAGCGTCTGGCTCTCCAGTGCCCCGCTACGTTCTAGCTAACCTCCTAGCCTCGCACACGATTGGGTTAGAGGTACATTTGCCCGGCAGAGGAGCACCAAAGAGCCGCGGACCTCACTAGAAGTCAATTACTCTGACATGGAGGAATTGGATGCCACCTTTTTTTTTTTTTTTTTTTCTTTTTTAAAGAGAGCCGCTCTCCGCTCGCTGTCTCAGCTCTTCTGGGACGGAGATAAACAATCAAGTCTCAGCCAGCCGCTTTGCTGCTCAGCCATCAGATAGGAAAATGGCTCTGATCACTGCCGGGCAAATAGGTTGAGGCCTCGCTGATTGGTCGAACGCTGGAACACACACGTACACACACAGACACACACCCAGAGTAAAGTGCTGTCATGTGTGGATCCAGTTTTGATGTGCAAAGTGAATTTGATGAGCCCGTTTCTAATTAACCTATTAATCATGGCTCTCATGTACCAGATGTCTGCCCTCCCTTCTCGTGAGCCTGCGTCTGTGTGTGATTGTATGTTGCGCTGCATGGGGGCCCGGCTGCATAATTAGGGCATATCACAGGATGAACTCACACCACGGCTTCAACACGGGGAGGTCGTGATATTACACCATAGGACCATAGGTGCGAAGCAACTTATGCTGAAGATCCACGAGGTGCTTTCATGCCCAACACTCCTCTTACTCTGCCGATTTAGGCGGACGTCTGCTCAAACAAGCCTCCGTGTTTGAACCAGTCATTAAATTAACTCCAGTCTTCTTTGCTGCTCAGTTTGCACACTATTCACTCTGCCTTAATGACACTTTTTGGGGTAAATGAGGATGTGAGCCTTTCACCTTCCCATATCTTTCTGCTGAAATATTACTTTTGAACACTTTGTACTCGAGTTTTTGGACGACTACGCACAAAAATTCAATTTGGAAACTTTTTAACAGTAATGTTACGCCAAAATGAATTAAAAATCTGAAAGGCTAAATAACACTAAATCAAGCTCAATGCTAAATAAACGCTTTTACATGGCGGCTAGGTGTTGGCAGTGTTCTAGAACAGCCTCCCTCCAACCACTATAATCTATATGTGTTTTCTTACTGCGCTCCTGCTGCGTCTCGTCCAATCGTTTCCTTTGTCTCAAGCCCAACAGCTGCAGAGCTGCAGAGAGAAAGTGGTGACTGATGACCACAGACTGTGCTGCTGACACCAGCTGCATCCTCCTCCCCGCCACTGTATAGATCTTTGTCATCGCCAGTTTCTTCGCTGTCAAACCGGCTGCCGCTTAAAAACATAATAATGGCTGGATTCCATTCAGATGGGGAGCCGTCGTTAGCGCTATTAGCAGCACCTATGCTTGTGCCTCGTTAGGGCTGCTCTTTGGCAAAATTATGCTCAGCCAAGTCAGCGCAGAGTTACCACTTCTGTTTTATCGCTGCTTTCTCTTTCGAAATAATAGCCGCTATAAAAATAAATAGTAAGCACTTCTCGAACGAAGATGTGAGCGGCGCCGAGGAAGACGGGTTCTGCTGCCGGCCCTGATAATCCGACGTGGACAAGTAAGTTTGATTTCTTTCCTCATGAGCTGTAGCTACGGTGTCAAACTTATTCCAGAGGCTTTCTTTAAAGCTGGGGTAGGCAGCGTTATGAAGCTTTCAGTTTATAGTAATGTGGTAGTCTGAGTGGAATCAAGCCAGGGACAGGAGGCTTCAGCCAATCACGGGGGTTTTTACTCAGGTGAGATCAGGTAAACGGCAACAGGGAGAGCAGGATGTCATGTCATCGTTGAGTTTTAGCTGGACTATGAAGCGTCTGCTCGTGGGGTGGGAGGAGCTTAGAGCAGAGAGGGAACAGCACTATGTTTTCTCATTCTGGAGGGTTTTTTTAATCATCTTTTAATGAACCTTGTCATTAATAGCGACTGGTATTAGTATAATGATTGTTAGATGATTAAGAACGGGATAAATGATCGATTCTGAACTGTTTCGTCTTTCCCACAGTCTGAAGAAGAACCATGATGAATGATGAACGATCCGTCTGCAACTCCACAAAGCTGCTTAATATTTACCCAATCATGCCTTTAGATGTGTTTACAATCCTGGATGTGCCGTGTTGTTTGCTCAAGTTATTTCTGAACGAATGAATCTGATCCAGTTTGTGAAAAGAAAAAAGATTGTTATGCTGGTATTTACACACTTTATTCACATCCGTTGTTGTTGAAGAGAACTGAGAGCAAACACACATTTTATTATTCTACTGCACAACAATGGAGGAGAAGGCACAAATTGGTGCATTAAAAAAAAAAGTCAACAAAATCCAGAAAAAGGACTGAAATTGTTCTGGAGGAGGAACTGCAACCCCTTATTCCTACTCAGGATCCCCTTTTCTTTGCTTTTTGTTTTTTTAAATGAGGAAAATATTCAGAAGTTACCCGTGGAATAGCATTTGGTTGTCTTCTGTATTTTGTCCACACCAGCTGTTATTTCTGAAGAGCTGGATCTATTCTAGCCTTTGGAGCTTCATTAAAAATCATGAAGAACTTCAACCTGTGCAGTCTCTCATTCCAACATGCAGCCTATATAAACCTATTCTTTAGAAACAGGGTCTCATGGACTCATTCCTGTCTTCCAGGTTCTCTGTATTTGCCAGCATCTCCCAGTAAGACTTTGCAATGAGAATGTCCGATACCGTTGACACTGAAACGATGAAGGTTTCCGAGGCCGCCGACACGGTGTCATCCGCCAAAGACAACGCCACCAAGTCCGAGGTCTCCGACCAGAGCCAGAGCAGCAGAGATGAGCACGGCAGCAACAATAAGAGGGACATACAGGTAAAGAACTCGCACGAGTGCAGCCCAGAAGCCCTCCAGTAGCTCATCTTTCACATCTACCACTGATGGGTACTTTCATAGACCGCATGATTGAGCACTTTGGTGAAAAGAAGTGTCAGTCTCAGATATTCTCTGAGCAGCCTGACTGGACTCGGACTAAGCTGAGGACACTTGACAGCCTCACCAAACATTTTCGCTCTTCCTCGGCGCTCATTTCCATGAAAATTCACTAACGGTCAACGTCAAACACCAGCTGCCCTGGGGATCTCCTGTCACCCGCGGCATTTAAGATGATTTTCCCAGCTGCATCGGCAAGAAAAATTATTCCTGAAAAGTGTGTAATCTGCACAGACTGCAATAGTAATGCAGGGCTTGCCTCAGCAGCCGGAGCGTACCTGGCTGCTGAGAACCCCTCCGAGTCGTAGAGATCATCTGGTTGTGGGGAAGAGTCACGTGTCGTCCACCGGAGACGTTAAAGTGGCGATCTACGGGGGGATTCAGGACGGCTGAGATCGCTCTCAGATAAACCGCTAATTAATTAGGTCTCTGTGTCATTGCGACGCTGTGCTTTGGGGCTGCAGAAAATTCGCACCAGTTAATTTGGCTTTTAAAGTAAAACCGGTGCCGACTGGTTCGTGCTCGCAGAGGAACGGACTCTAAAAAAAAACAGCGAAACCACGTGAAATCTCCCGAGTATGGTCAGAAATAAATAAATAAATAAAAATCCAGGAAAGGAAAAGGATTGTCTCTTTGGCTGCAACCTAAAAATAGGATTCAGGCCAATCTGGCCTTGTGGTTGGAGGCAGGGAGAGCGAGAGAGTCAGGCAGGCGGATAATCGGAGCTCAAATCCTGGCTTATCTACCAACTTCCTGCGTCTATGTTACCCTGAGGAACAGAATGACACCAGCGTGAGGGGAGCGGCAGGGGAGAGAGGAGGGGACACAGGAAGAACGGGGAGGGAGAGACGGGTGGCGAGGTTGTAAGAAGGAGGGATTAGGACGAGGAGGAAGGCAGGAGAACACGAGAGACACGATGTCGGAGGGAGAGAGGAACGCTGAGGCAAGACAATGAGGAAGCAGGAGGATGGATTCCTCCATCCTGAAATGATTCTGCTCAGCTGAAGACAGAAATCCTCTTATTAGTTCAGGCAAAATAGATTTAGTCAACATAACCAGCTTCTGACCAAAAATGAGCGTCGAATTTGTAATTTGGGAGGATGTAAGCAGGGGTCACAGGGGTTCGTTTAATTCCCCAAAATGACACCAATTATTAGGACTTGTGGCTGCAGAACCAGAACGAATAATAGGATTACCGACCTGCTGACGTCCTCGAACGCATCGTATGTGGAGGAGAGTTTCATTTTAAGATTGCGATATTTAGTCAAAGTCAAGTCAACATACAAGTTTCTGTGGAAAATGCACCAAAAGAAAAGATTTTGGTGCAAAGATTGTGTAAAAAAAACAAAAAAAGAGAAGTCGTTATTATTACACAGAGTGGATAGAAGGTATGAGGACAAATTAGAGAGACTGAGAACAAAATAAAACATGATCAAATTAAATAAATCAGTAATTCAAAATGATTTAGTGTCGTTTTTGGAAATGACAGTTGAGTTCATTAGCAAGAAATTACACAGTTCAGTCCACCCGGGGGGTTTTACTGCTTAAGTTTGTTAGCTTTTGGCAGCTAATGTCAACAAATGTAGATATATGTTGTTGTATAGCAGACATTATGAAGTCATTCTGCACACAGCTACACATAGTTTTAGCTACGATCAAGTAGAGATGATTTATTTTAAAGGAACATATCAGTATACTTCGATCACTACCACTCCCATCCAACCATATGGAGAAAAAACCTGCTGACCAGTTCACACGACTCACAGGTTGCTTCTCATTTGTTTGTTCCATCCAAAAACCAAAGTCAAACACGAAACTGTGGTTTTGTCGAGCGCTATTTATATATACAGTTGCCTGGAAACCCCATGGGCTGTTTCCTCATTCTCCCGCCTCTGTGCTAAGCTAAGCTAGCTGGTCGCCAGCTTGATATTTAGCTCGACGCCAGACTCTTTAAGTCGATTTATAATCATCTTGTAATTAAAACTCGTGACTCTTCTTCTGCAGCAACTCCACATATCTACGTTTAAAGCAAGTGTTTCATAATATTTGAGTTAAAGCTGAAATGAGAAGCCTTTCATTAATGGTATTGACTCATAAATGCCTCCTCAGCCTCCTCCTTTCACGCCTCACCTTTAACCGACTTGTTTTGCTGCCTCCTCCGGTGTGTTTTTTCGCGACCTCTACAAATGTAGGTTACGTCTCATTCTCCTCCTTTTTTTTTTTTCCTCTAAAACTCACCCCGGCATAATTATTTCATGGTCGCAGGAATGCCAGGATGTGCTGACGGCGGCGCTGACACCGCCGACCTTTCCGCTCGTAATTTTCGGCTGCAGAGGAGGGTGAAGCTAATTCCGTCGCTCCGTGTAAGGGCGCCGGCTAAACGCCTGAAACGTTCATTGTGGAGGGAAATGGACGAGGTAGGGAGCGGGGATAAGGAACAGGGGAGGAGGCAGCGGTAACTCAAACAAGCGAGAGGCGGCCGGGGGAGGGAGGGATGGGATGGGAAAGGCATTCCGACAGAGGTAAGAGGAAGAGGAGGAGGGAAAGACCGGGTGACTTTGCCACCATCTGCCTCCAGCTCCGTCCTCTGCGGCAGGACAGGTGGCTGGTGGCCGCCCTACTTCTGCTGACTTCAGCCCTTTCCCTCTCCCTCTCTCCCCCCGTCACTTTTCCCATTCCTTTATCTCCTGCCGGCATTGTTCATTCCCCACCGGCCCCACGCCGCTCAATTAGCTGGTGTAGCGGTGCGCTCACGGTCCCAGCCCTCCCCCTCCTCCCTCCCCTCTCCTCCACATCCAGATTACCTGATATAGAAAAAGGGGGGCAGGTCACAGGCATCGGAGATGGGCGAACAGCGGGCCCATTTCAATTTTTTATAGGTGTTATTTGGCCCCTCAAGCTCAATGAGGGAGGGGAGGGGTTGTCCTTTTGATTTTTAGAGGACAGGTGGGAAGGACAGAGCTGTGTGTAGGTGTGTGTGTCGGTGTGTGTGTGGATGCATGTTGGGATTAGGAAGCAGAGGACTGGGCTCTGTTACAATTTAGACTGAAATGGCTCCTGCCAGGTCTCTCCCCCCTCCCTCCCCTCCTCGCCTCACCTCACCTCCCCCCCATGCGTGCTACTGAGAGACCTTCTGTTTATATGTACACACACACACACACTCTCACACTCACACACACACACACACACACACACACACACACACGGGCAGCAGTGCGTGAAGCGCAGAGGCACCGAGCTGTCTCACACACTGCTGGGTGGCCGGCCTCTCTCCGCTTCCTGCTCCTCACCTCCAGCGCCCGGAGGTGAGGCGCTAGGATGGAGCTGACAGCTAAATGGAGCTGGGAGCGGCGCGCAAAACTGACCCGAATCCCTCACAGCCCCGACGTCTGGGCTTTTGTTTTCTGCAGGGTGTGTGTTTGGGAGTGTTTGGGGCACCTTACAGTGCAGCCTGCTTTGGTAGCATATGCTCTGCAGAAATTAATTCACGCTCCCAGGAATTGGTAAATGTTCCCGTTTGCAGTTTATTTTTTATTTTTTGCACATCAGCGCCACAGAATTCAGTGTTTGTTGATTTTTTTTTTTTTTTTAGCTTGTGTGAGTTTTCCCCGACATCTTTTGCAGAGCTAGACGCATGCACAAAATGTAGGCCAGTCATATTTAATTCAGAATTCTTTTAAAATAACAATCCTCTTTCCCCCCCCTCCACCTTTTTCCTGTGGTTTGTTTGATTTATCCACCCTCCCCTACCTATGGACAGCCTGTGAAGTACTCAAAGGTACGGTAACGCTCGACGTGCATGTCGATGCTCCCAACATGTCTCGTGCACTTTGCTTGGACTGACTTGGAAGTTGTGTTTTCTGTGACGCGTCGTTGCTGCAGATGTCTGAAATTACTTCGCTGCAATGTGCTGAGATCCCATTATGTGAATGATGGCGGCGGCTACGGCGTGAATCATGCCTGCGAATACAAACAGTCTGGACGTTTACTTTGTGCTTGCTGCATTGATGTTCCCCTCAGGGAGAGGAGAAAAAAAAAACAATAGGGGTTTTTTGCGAAAATGCAATTTTATTTATTTTTTTTTTTTTTTAAACTTAAGTTTGTTCTGATCAAGTTATTCGAGAAGATCTACAATAATCTTGAAAGCTCAGTCGCTCGGGAGAAGATGTGTCAGCTGAAATGTGAATTACTGAACGTGTATGATTTGCTTGCAAGAATTGATTGTGCTCGCTGGCTGTTTCACTGTTTTTTTTTTTTTTTTTTACCTTGGCTTGCCACTGTGATGATTTTGATGCAGTTGTGTGTGTGCATGGTTTTAACTGTGCCCACCTACCTGCACCCCCTCCCCTCCCCTCCCCCACCTTAGTCCAACACCAGGCTAAAGCTGGTGCGGAGCCTGGCAGTGTGTGAAGAGTCCTTTCCTTGCCCTATCCCTGAGCCTTCAGCAGCACCTCAGGTAAAAACATCTCCCTGAATCACCAGAGTGTCTTCATTCATTAGAGATGTGCCGGTTTTTAACCCTCTGCCCCGATGATAGCAGCGTCACCCCGCTGAGGTCACGACGAACGCCGCACGGCCTTCAGTTTGATTCAGATTAACCACAATCGTGCAGCGTTTTATCAGCCCAACAGAGAGACAGGCTGTCTGCTTCCAGCTCGACGCTGTTTAAAAGCAGCTAGTTTATGGGGCTGAGAGAAAGCATTCTCTGCAACTCCTTACATCAAGATTGCTCACGATTTTCAGTGGCTAGCTTCATCTTTGCAGTTGTATTTGCTAGAACAGGTGTTCATCAGTACGTTCTGCCCTTGTTCCTGCTGACATACATGAAGTTAGACTCCAGAAAGAGGAGAGTTGAGCCTCTACTCTGACTGATCAGTTCTTTATAATGCACTGCAAATATCAACAGGAACGCCTGTTTGTGTGTAGTTTGCACATAAAGCAAATATAAATATCATATTTCTAGTAGTTTTCTTTTGACATTTGGCTACAAGTGCTTTCTGGTTCACCTGTTGGAGAATTAGCACCATCAACAGTTTATCTTTAACTCCTGATAGGTGCATAACCATCAGGGATGAACGTGTTAACTCACGTTCTTTTCGAGCTTTGTGCAAACACCGTGGCTACATTAAACATGCTCTAATGCTACTACTCTATTATAATCAATGGCGTATGATGTGCTAATGTGTCACATCTGTTTAAGTTCTTGGTTAGTTAATCACTTGTTTGACCTGTTTAATGTCAAAAACTGGTTAAAAATGTTGTTCTGTGTTTCCCAAAGCCCAACAAGGTGCCCTCAAATGTTTTGTCCACAAGTTCTTAAGCCACTGTCATAGAAGGAAAGAAACCAAAACAAATGTTCACATATGAGAAGTTGCAATCAGAGAATTCAAGACCCAGATTGATTCTCCAAACAGTTGGTCGGTTAGTTCCCTTCATCTGCTAATAGAGCCTCTGGTCTGGACCACATGTACACGGATGGTTTAACGGTCACATCCACACAAGCACGTCTGGAAAAAGTAGTTTGTTTTTGGACAAACAAGACATTTGAGGAAACAATTGTTTGTTTGTTTTTTAAATCAACAATTAAAATAATCTTTAGTTTCAGCCCTTTATTAATGAACCTTCATCAAACCAAACTCTGTTCAAAAAAGCTCCAATTTAAACCCAGACTGAATATTTATGAATAAATCCTGGTTTTTAGCTCTGGTTTGGTCGCCTCCAACACATTTTAGAATCAGGATGAGTTTCTGTCACTAATTACAAGTAATTGATTGAGAGCTAATCGAGTGGTGGTTACAGCTCAACTGAAAACAGGTCAGTCTACTTATAGTCGGGGCATAAATGAACCTGAGTGGGTGCATCGAACCTAGATGGAATTAATAAATAATGGTTCACTTGTGTTTGTTTGCCGTGTTTTAATGTATTTGATCTGCACACTTCCATGTCAGGTTTGAACAGGACCCAGTGAGATAACGGAGTGAGGAACATTTACCATATTTCAGCTTTAGTAGCCGGTCGGAGCACCTTATGAATATGGTGATGATGTGTTTTATCATATTTTCGGCCACAATGACATGAAAATGTGACGCCGGCACATCTCTAACCGCAGCCGCGCTCCGTTCACGTGGGTTTTCTTTTCAAACACGGTGAAACTCATCTCATCGAGCTGGGAGTGATGTCGACGGCGCTTCAGCCATGTTGGCGAAGCCGCAAAAGTGCTGACCTGGGATCAGTTCTTCATTTCAGCTCATTACAATTGAGCAGATAGACCTCTGATGCTTGATTAGCAGCCTTCGTCTGACAGCTATGATTAAATACCTGGCCGCGGCCGCCCGCCTGATGAAAACATCACATCATCAAAACAGAGAGCGCCGGGCTCCAGCAGCGAGCCGGCCGTTACTTTGCTAAATCGACTCTTCTTTGATGCCGTATCTCCGGGCAAAGCCTCCCCTCTCCTCCTCCCCCCACCTCCGATCAAACTTTCTCCATTACATGCCACTGTACACCGCTCCTGGCATGCTTTCACACACACTCGCGTACACACAGGTGAATCTGTTCCAGGCGTTTCAGCCAGTCAGCACCGAGCTCCATAACCAGAGGGCGGTGTTATTCCCACAACAGTCTCGCATCGTCTGCACTCACACGACGTCCTGTATTACTGCCATCAATCATGTCGAGGAAATTACAATTTCCACACGTCAGCTACAGAGAGCTGTGGAGCGCTCTAATTGAATACTCCTGATATTTCCCCCGCTCCTGTTATTGGCCCCGGAGTCGAGACTCCTTCTGCGGCAAACTAACCTAGAGGGGCGAGGTAAAGCAATAAAGGAAGAGGAGGGAGGAGAAAGGAGAAAAAAAAACACATTAGTGGAGTACACATTCAGCCGCACTGATTCTCAATCAAACCCTTATGATCATCAAATCTGAGCGTCCCATTGTTCAGGATTTCGCATTACTGTCTCCACTGTCAGATAGGAAGGATTAACAAAGGCCTGTATGGATGTATACGCTGTCCAAGTCGTCGCCGCCGCTTCCTGAAAAACTACATCTGCCCTTACATTGTGGGCCTGGCTGTCAATTCCAATCAATGGCCGATAGCGAGGGGGCCCCTGAATGCTCGTCGCACTTTTTTTGTTTCAGACTGACAGCATGTTCATTACATATTCACAAGACCATCATTTTCACGCTGTTTTTCCTTTATCTCGAGGTAAATGGATGTCAGGAAACAAATGAGGCAGCTCGCAACAGCTGCACATCAACCAGGCGGCTTCCATGTGATGCCGAGGGTGGCATTAAGCAGCAAACATCAGCGCTCCTTGCCAGAAAAAAAAAAAAAAAAACCCTTTTGTTTTGACAAACACACACACACACACACACACACATGAACTTGCTGTCACTTCTGCAGCACACAATCCGAGACTCATTTTCGCTTTCTCCCAGTCTCGCACAGGCAATTAGTCAGTCACGTTTCTCATTAGCATATTACATTTTCACATATATTCAGAGCGTCTTAAAATGAAGGCGAACGCAGCGTCTCATTATCTTGCTCCGCAGCTGTTACAGGGATCAAACTCGTGACCTTTTTTCTTTTTTTTTTTCCGGTTATGAGCTGCTCTCCCACCACCAGGTCACCCCTTCTCTCTCTCATTCATTCATTCATCCTCTCGCTCGCCGCACTCTCGTTTCTCACGGATTCTCTGATGTTAGCTTTCCAGAGTTGTGTTTAATCCACTTGCGGTGCACCGGCGACCCCTCTCCTCTGTTCGGCTTCCCTTTCAGAATTGCCTGAAAAGCAAATCAGATACCGCTCTGAGTCGTGTGAGTGAGTGTGTGAGTGTGAGTGTGTGTGTAAACCAAGGCTGTTTTTAATAGATTTCACAAAAATAACACAAAAAGAATCCACACCACTCCGCAGCCAGATTGCAGCTACGGTCGATTTTTAGGATTTCTCCTCCAGTTGGTGGGGGGATTACAGCTAACGCCGCATTCTGTCGAATTTTAAAGCAATGAAATGTGCCGCTGTTGTTTCGTCGCAAAATTCATGTTTTATTCAGGCGCTTTAATAAAAACAAGCTAATCTGGCAGATTAATTGCCATGGCGATTTGGAATTCACCAACGCAGGTGCGTTATTGCCGACGAGGAAGCAGGTTTCAGCGACGCACCGCCGGAGTTTATTAAGTGTCTTACAGTGGCCTCTATCGCCCGTGCTATTCTCTAATTAACCCAGAACCTCAGGCAAGATCACAGAGAATTAAACGCCTCGTATTTAATGCCGCTTTTCTAAATTAAGGTCTCGTGCCTGCTCGTCATTCAGAAGAGACCTGGGTCACATTTGGTATTTGTCGCTCTTGTACAATGTTGACATTATCGCACTTGTGTGTGTGTCTGTGTGTGTGTGTGTGTCTGTTGTGTATTTGGAGTTTTAATCAAGGCCACTTGACGCACACACACACAGCTGCCCTTTCATTTCCAACAATGATTTTAAAACACACAGCTCCTGCGTGCCTCACTTGTGTGTTTTTTTCTCCTCCCTCAACAGGACGGATTCCTTCTCCAGCCCTTCGAGAAGGAAGAACGAGGCGCTCAGGACCAAGCTGAGAAAGAGGACAGCTGCGACAAGGTGGACAAACCGGAGAAGACGCAGAGAAAGATGCTGTCAAGAGGTGAGATTTTAACCTATTCCTGTGTGTCGTTTTGTGTATTTTTTTTTTTAGGTCAGTTTCAGTTACGTCTCAATCACAGGAAATATTTCCAGCTTCCTTTAAACACCTGAGGCCTCATTTATAAACGTCGCTCGCACCCCAAAAAAGCAGCTCCAAAGATTCATGGTGCTCTTCAATGACATAGAATGTACACACAATCCATGTCACTCCGCCTTCTAATAATTCTATCCTTTACCGTGTCACGAAGAACTTTTTTTTTTCCCCCTCTTTCTGGTTCAGTGTCCTCCGGTTTGTCTAAAAGCACTTCTCCTCTGTAAATGATATCTCATTATAGGCTGATAATTGGCGTGATTCAGTTAATTGCGACAAGCTGAAGGTGCGAACCAATTATCCAGATTCCCACAGGCGCATAAAGGTGTCTGCTTCCCTCTGTGGAGCAACACCACTGATGAGGCAGCTTCCAATTATAGAAACCAGACACCCACCGAGGGGAACAAGCTCCGGTGTCGTCCCCCACCCCCCAGACTCCCACCGACGGGTCCGATCCTTTTTGTTGGTGCACAGGAAACATTGTCAACTTCGTTATCCCAACACTTCCTCATTTCTGAAATGGTTCAGCTGGCAGTGCTCGCGGCTGCTCGTACAGGCTGCCAGACATTTTTTTTTGTTTCCCCTCTTATTGGTTGCACTAAGAACCCATCAAACAGCATTTTCCTGAACAATGTCACCCTCAGTGAAGTTTACCTTTTTGACTTTTTCCGTTTCTCCCTCTCGAACAGTTGAATGACAGGCTGATTAATTTGCATATCAATATTCACGACGTGCGTTTCATTAACTGTTTGTCATTAATTTGGGGAGTTAACGGGGTGGAACGTTTTAACTTCCTTGTTATTCACATAAAGAATATTGTGTTGAGAACATTACGTGCAGGTAAGCTGAGAGAGTGTGTTTGATAAATGCGGATGTGTTTGAGCGTCAGGGAACATTTAGGACCCGTGACGCATTCATCACTAAATCATGACGTGTTTCCGTCAGATTCCAGTCAAGACTACACAGATTCAACTGGCATCGACCTCCACGAGTTCCTGGTCAACACGTTGAAGGGCAACCCCAGGTGAGCTCAGCGCACGCTAATGGTTCGGTCGCAGCGGCGGTTAAAATGTCACCGCTTAACAGCAAAATCAATTCACGTCAGTGGATTCGCTGCGATGAGTGGATTCACTCGCGGATGACTTAATGTTGGCGAACATTCCCACCACCGACTGTTAGCGAGCCATTTTGCATCGACCTAATAGCCCGGTGGTTTGGGCGTATTGCACGTTATTGCATTTGCATTTATTTGAATACCAGCCAGCCTGGATCCTCGCTGTATGCCGTTCCCCGGCTCTCTTTCCTGATATATCTTCTCGCTAGTCCCAGTACATGGTGTGCCAGATATCCCAGGATGTTTTTTTAGGTAATAGATTTAAAATGCGATGGATCATTTCCACATAAGACAACGAAATACTAGCTGCTCCATATTCTAATGCAAGTATGAAAGTTTAAACATTTAAACTGCTATTATTACGTTTGTTAAATGGCATACACAGCAGAAGAATCATCCCAAAAGCTGTGTTAAGGTAAATAAATGAAGAGATGACAATAATTAAAAAGGAAAAATGTGAAATATGTCTGACGTTAAACCAGGTCGTTGATTCGTGGCTCAGGAGCAATATCCCCCCAAAAAAAGTAAAGTGCTACATAATGTATATCCTGAATTGCAACCTTTGCTAATTGCGCTGCTTCAGAATTGATTTAAAATCGATTAATTGTTCAACCCCTTACCGCATGCAACAGTATTTACTTTGTAAGAGCAGCTGCAGTAAAAGTACGACGGAAAAAGTGCGCAATTTGGAACGCAGCCTCGGAGAGCTGCTGTAATCGACTAGCGTTAGCATGTTCTTTGCTAGCCCTGTTGGTCCCTTTCATATTTTAAAGGGCCAGCGTGTAAGATTTAGAGAGGATCTATTAGCATAAATAAATGATGGTATTTATAATTCATGACCGTATAAACACCTGTGCTTTTGTTAGCTTAGCATGAGCCCATTATATCTACACAGGGAGCAGGCCCGCCATGTTGCACCGCCATATTTCTATAGTAGCCCAGAGCAGACAAACTAAACAGTGTCTCTAGAGGGCGCTGTTCATGTTGGCTACCACTGACTCGTACATACTGATCCTTTAATTACGCTCCAGAGAAATAATCTAATTTTTCAAAAACACAAAACAGATAGCAATGGTCGCTAGTTTCCGGTTGGCTAGCATGTTAGCAATTAGCTTACAAGGTACAAGATTCACCATCAAGTCTCTACATTATTATTTTGTGACGATGAATTTCACTATGCTGCTTTCTGGTGTGACTGGTCCTTTAGAAAACATATAAATGCTGATGATAGAAAGATTTGTAATCATGAAGCCATTTTTGAGTTCTGACGTGTCTCAAAAACAGTCTCACCTTTGTTGTTTTTTAGGGATCGAATCATGCTGCTGAAGCTGGAACAGGACATCTTGGATTTCATCAGCAATAATGAGTAAGAAGTTCATTAAGATGATATTGGTTGATAGAATTCAACACCTTTAGAGATAATAGGAGCTTTCTAGAGTACAAACTGATGCCACACAGTTCAGATGAATCGCTGTAGGGCTGCCACCAGATAGTCGACCAAACGTTGATTAAGCAGCAGAGACTCAGTTGACCAAGTTTTAAATGGTTTGCTGATTCCAGATATAAACAGAAACTCTCAGTCCATGTGGTTATTGAACGGTGATTAGAGATGTTGGGCTGGAAAACCAAAGTGTGGGATGATTTCAGAGGACGATCCCAAGAGCGTGGCTGGCAAACTTAGGGTTTTCTGCCAAAGAACTCGCTGGTTTGAGTCGTGAGCCAGAACCACTTTTGCCAGTGGTTCATGACATCTTGGGCGCTTTTAATTTGTATGTCTTACATTATGATTTAAAGACTCATAACGAGCTGCCGTTTTGCATCTCTCAGTAGTTTGTTAAGCGTTTAGAATATTCTCTCTCAGCTCTGGAACCACCAGAAGTATACATCGAGATAATTAATTAACCAACATAAACACATAACTAGTCGACTAAAGGCTTGAATTATCGACTACTAATGGACCAGGACCATCTTTGTTGATCTAATGCTTCAATCCAGTAGTCTGTTTGGATGTGTTTTATCGTTGGCTCTGGTCTTCAGATCCTATATATGGATTATTCAGTCTGGATTAGATCGCTAATGAAGTCTAGACTTACTGAGGGCTCCGTGTTCCCCTCAGAGGTGCTTGAAAACATTTGCAAAACAGAGAGAAGAAGCTGAACGTATAGCTTCACCTGCCACCAGATTTAAACCAGACTCCTCTTTGTCCACCTGTAGAAGCCAAAAGAGGAAGTTCCCGCCCATGAAGTCCTACCACAGGATGCTGCTGCACCGCGTAGCAGCCTACTTTGGCATGGACCACAATGTGGACCCCAGCGGGAAGTCAGTGGTGATCAATAAAACCACCAACACCAGAATGTGAGAGTCCCCTTTTTTTTATTATTTCCAGATTTGACATGAGTGTAAATTCCAGTGTAATGATGTTTGCGTGATGTTCCCTCCACAATGCCGCTCTATCGTTACGGAATATTTCCGCTTGTTAATTGGTGCAGGATTTTCTGCAACCATAAGCTGCTTCAATCAGATCAGTCGATTTCCCGCGCCGCTCGTCGGTTAACATATGTTGCTGTCAGCATCTGCCTGAAATTAAGCTGCCACTAAAACTCCCGTGAATTCCCCCCACTGACAGACCCGATCAGAAATTCTCCGAGCACATCAAGGATGACAGGGCGGACGATTTTCAGAAACGCTACATTCTCAAACGAGACAACTCCAGCTTTGATCGAGAAGACAGCACGGTAGGTTTTTTTTTTTTTTTCTTCTTCTTCTTCTTTTTTTTTCCCTCCTCTCTCCCCTCACCAAGCTGTCACTTTCATTTCTGACATGTTGGTAAGAGTGGGACAATCTGGCGTCCCTGACATAGCTGCTAAAGAAGCGTGTGTGTGTGTGTGTGTGTGTGTGTGTGTGTGTGCGGTGTGTCCTTGCCAGATTCGAATGCGTTTGAAAGCTGACAAGAGGAGCAAATCGATGGAGGAGAGGGAGGAGGAGTACCAGCGAGCCAGAGAAAGGATATTTGCACATGATGTGAGAGCTGTTTGTGTAGGCGGAGCAGGGGGGTGGGGGGCCATGTTTCACAAATCTTTGTGTCTTTTCTATTCATGTGTAAATTCACTAGATTTCTTGCTACCAATTACCACTGCTGGATTTATGAATTTATAGACGGGGGACGGTCCCATCTGGAGCCACTTCTTTGTGGAGAAGTCAGATTTATAGCCTGTGGTCCAAGGACCCGATCAGACTGATTATGATGTTTAATAACAAATTGATTAATACTTCAGATTCATAAGATGGGCCGTGAGTTGTATCCCCCCGTAACTGATGGTAATTTTCCTTCTCACCCACAGGGAGATCACTTCATCCTAGACAGAAGGTAGGTAGTAATACTGTATTAATCACATCCAAAAAAGCTGCGTCCAATATGGATGATGAATTGTCAGTTAATTGGCCACCGCGGAGCTGATTTCATCCTTTTTAAAGTGTAACTAAAGCTCCTCACAAAGCTGCTACTTCACTTTTATGCTTTCCCCTGTCAGAGCAGCAATTAGAGTCAGCCCTGCCATGTTTTGAAAAGGCAGATATCTCATTTAGTCGGCGCCTGTTCTTTTAATACCTGCTCTCCTCCTCCTCCTCCTCCCTCCAGTGCTCAGGATGAAGACGCATGCATGAGCACCCAACAGAGGCGGCAAATGTTCAGGTGGGTCCACCCCGTCGCACGTCACTCAGCTCCTTTCAGAGGCAGAGAAAAAAAAAGCCTTTGAATCGCCGTCTGTCTCGATCGGCTCGCGCAGCAACGGCAGCGCTGATCTGAGGATTTGTTGTTTTTTTTTTCTCTCGCTCCTCAAGAAAGCCGCTGTTAAAGAGGATTTTCTGCCCAGGCTTCCTCGTGTGGGACGGCCGGTTCACACCAAAGCTTTTCAATTAAATCGCTTTTATTGTTCTCCCAGAAACATATTTTATTGATGAAGCTCTGGAGAGTACGTGAATGTAATGCCTGTTGGGAGAAGATGCAGTTTTGACATATAGATATAATGTGATGTTAAAAGACGGCTGGAACATCTGGGAATATATTATTATGTTTTAGAGTTTTTATAGATTCCTCCTCAGCTGTGATGGGCAACTGTTCTGTTTATGTACAAATGATCTGCTTCCACCTTCTCAGATGTAAATATTTTGTTTTCATATTCAACTGTCTTCAGATTTCTAATGTGTCAGCTCGAGCTTTGAGAATTTGTGACAGGCATTTTAACCGTTTTTGACAATTAACAGGCAATTATTAAGCAAATACGGAGAAAAGAATCCACAGAATGCTTGGCAGAGAAAGTAGTGTTCATATTTATAGACTTATTCAACGTAGACGCTCTGCAGTGCCGTCGGTGTAAATCTCTGCTGTGTCAGAGGTCAAGTCTAGAGCTGGGAGTTTATTACAAAGCAATGCTTCAGAGCGAAACGAGGATAACCCGTTCTAAATAGTCCTCTCTTGCCGTCCAGGTTACGGGCCGGTCAGTCGGGCGCCAGCCGGCAGAGCAGCTCGGAGACGGAGACGCTGCCGCGACACGGCGAGCCGCGGCCGTGGAGCAGCACTGACAGCTCAGACAGCTCCAACCGGCTCGCCCCGCGGCCCGCCATCACCAAGGCCAGCAGCTTCAGCGGCATCTCCCCCGGCCTCATCCGGGGAGACAGCACGGCCAGCAGCAAGAGCACCGGGAGGCTCTCGAAAACAGGCAAGCCACACAGCAGAGGCGAGGCGAGAGCCGCGTGAAGCAGCTGCAGCTTAGACGTGCGGAGGTGCCAGAGACGATGCCCTCTGAACGTCCTCGGTTTGTTTGAAATGGAGCAGCACGGTGCAGAAAGACGAACCGAGGCAGCCTGAAATATAATGAACGCACATTTAAAGTGTAGCTCTCTGCCACCAACTAACGTTTAATGACTTGTTTATGTTTATTTGTGATTGATCGTCCTGAAGGTAAACAGGAAAAGTCTGAATGTAGGTGGAAGGATTTGTCTCATTAGCAGGTGAGCATGTAATATATTCATTGAGTCGCACAGACAAGGGAGAGGAAACAGCACAAGGAGGAAATATTCACTAATTAGACGGTAAATGAGGGACAGTAATAAGAGTTTAGCATATTGAGCTTTAAGCTAAAATCCTCTGGCATTCGGAGCACCTGAGGTCTTATCAGAACAAATGTTTGTTGTCCTGCCGTGGTCGATAGAAGTCTGCGGGCCGCCCCGTAGCCGGACAGCTGTCAAAACTAATTACTGCACAACATCGCAGTGATGGAGGAGCCTCTTAAAAAGTGTTGTAGCAGCAGCGGCGGCGGCGGCAGAATAAAACCCAACACTGAGGAGTTACTGCATAATGTATAAGTGTGAGCGCTGGAAGTGCCACGAACGTCACCCAGATGAAGTTAGCGCCGCGGCTCACCTGCAAGTGCTTACTCCACAATATGATGCATTTGTAAGTCGATTGGCTGAGATTAGGCGCTCTGCATCACGGTCATGTCTTCTTCACCTCAGAGGGAAGATTCCTCGGCTGCTCCTTCCTTTTTCTCCTGCCACCATTTTTCTTTCTATTTTTTGCCAATCCCCTGTTGTTGTCTTTTTTATTTTTTTTGCAGAGAGGTAGCAGCAGCAGCAGCAGCAGGCTTCTTGCCTGAGCGGTTTTTTAAGTTGTTTACGAGGCAGCTGGCTGCCCTCACTTTGTGTTTTGGGAGACATCTCGCCCGCGCTGCCATGTTCTCCTGCGTTCGTCCTTCTCCTCGGCCCTCAAACACACCTTCGCGGCAGCGCCTGAAAATGGCAGTTTATGTACGACGGAGCTTAAATCCCTCGTAAGCTTTTGAAATAAAAGTCTTAATATTTCATCTTTTTTTTAAATTACAATATAATTCTTCTTTTTTTTTCCCCTCAAAGTCATGAACAGATCTCACTGGTAATAATCTACTTTTATAAATCCAGTCGTAGGCGGTGAAACAGAGACTCTTTTATGACGTACTTCCATTTCTTCTTTCTGAAATATTCCACTTATTCCTCCACCGCATTCATTTGACGGCTTTATTTAATAGCTACAGATTCATGATTTACATACAGACTGTATGACCATCTTCATAGCAGCTGACGTTAGCTTCAAACTGGAGTGCATTTGCTCATACTGGCTTTTCTATCAAGAGGACAGTCAGTCAGATTGTGTTGTGTCTTTACATGTATCTCACCATAACATCATGGCTGTAGAGAATCTGGTAATGTCAGGACGGTGGGACGCTGTAGGACTGACTTGTGCTTTCCAATAAAGAAATAAGAATGAAAAAATCGTAATATGTAGATATGCTAATATCTATTGCTTAGATATTAGCATATCTAGATATTAGCATATATATGCAATGAGCAGTTAAAGAGAATTTCAAACAAGAGTAATAGGTTTGGAGATGGACACGGAGCTGTATGCAGGTTTTAACTAGGATTAGATTTGATGTAAATTCAGGACTTTTTCTGCCCAGCGTTGTTGGAAGAGTCGAGCAGTGCTGGACAGTCAAACGTCTAACTGCAATAAAATACTTACAGCACAGATTAACTGAGGCTCCAAGAGTTAAAGATAAACTAGATCTTCTATGTATGTGTAAAACATAAACTAATTTAACACTTTAAGTTGTTTATGATGTGGTTTTAACATAAAACATAAAGTAACTGAGCTAAAACTCCACCAGCTTCGTCTCCCAAACACAACATGTGAATGAAAAAAAGTTTAACACGATTCCTGCTCTTCTTCTTTTTTCAAAAACTTTTTAACTCGGTCGTGTAAAATCATAAACGCCAGACGACAATGTCGATCCCTCCTCCCAAAAAACCAAGAGCTTCTTTGTGAACTCATCATTTTGTGCAACATCCGTTAATCATGCAGGGAGGAATCCGTCACAGATGACTCACAGATGCCAGTTTCTCCATCAACAGTTGCCTCAGGAGACCAGAATGCAATGCAGCCACAAGAGAGGTTGCATTATTAGCAAGAGGCACGGCTGTGACTATCCTCCCCTGCTTCATTATCACCACGAGCTGCTCCACCCGCGTGAATAACAAACCTGCCTGAAGCAGCGAGCTAACGCTGCGCTCGGTGTCTGTCTTAAGGCCGCTCTGGGACACGTAGGAAGTAGATGCTAATCGGCTCCTTGTTGCGCCTTCCCTCAGGTTCAGAATCGTGCAGCAGCGTCGGCTCCTCGTCCAGCTCGCTGTCCCGTCCTCAGCTGCCTCTCCCGGTTCCAGCCTCGTCCCGCTCCAGCCTCCCCAACGCACCCTTGATGCACCCGGACGCCAGAGGCTCCGGACACCCTGAGCTGACCAAGAGCATCTCCTCACAGCCACCACCAGCCACAGACACAACAAACTACTACGTGTTGCCGCTGGAAGCCTCAGGGATACCTCCTGGCAGCGTTCTGGTCAACCCACACACAGGTGGGTGACACCTCCACCAACGGCTTCCATTCAAAAGCTCAGTTTTACAAATTAAAACAATCTTCTTCAAGGGTGGCGACCAATTCTCGGTCTGCTGCGTTACATCAAATCTCCAAAAATACATTTCTTGTCTTGTAATTTTCTGGTTTGCTGATGAATATTCATGAGTGTGGGACAGAATTACAGGTTGGCGTTGGGCTGCGCTCGGTTTGTCTGTCAAATTAGTAGTCAGCCTAAAGCGTGCTGATCAAAATGCAGCGAACAGATGGAAGGAATCTGTAAATATGCATCACGGGCCCAGCACACAGTTGTGCACTTTCGGGCTGCAAACTCCTCTTCAAAAGCTGCCAAGGTTGTTAATTCCTGTTGACTCTCCTCTGGTGGACCTTGTCTGGGTGTGTCCTTCGCTGTCACGGGGAGCATCGTTCAAATGTTTGCTTTTGTACGACGCTGAGTTATGTGTGTGTGTGTGTGTGAGGCGCTCGCATCACTGTGGGTTTTGGTCTCTTGTGAATTACATTTGACAGGCAAGCCTTTCATCCATCCCGACGGCAGCGCTGTAGTTTATAACCCGGCCGGCATCGCCCCCGCTGCTGGCAGGATCCCACAGCAGGGGAAAGCCCCGCAGCAGCCAATCCCCGCCGCAGCACAGCAGCAGCCGACCAATCACCTTCACTCCCAGGTCAGTGGGCGGGGCCAATGTTTTACCTCGTTCTAAATGAACTCATGCAAAGACTGAGCAAACGTTTCCTTAACCTCACTAACTTACTGTGTTGATGAGCTGACAGTGGGACGGTCGGAGCCATTTAATCGCTCACACTGGACCCTTCCCTCAAACAACAACCTGAATCTAGGAATAGGCCTGTCGAGCTTTGAATTTCTCCACATACTGAAGCATTTCAAGCCTCTCCAGAACCACATCGTTTAAACATAACTCTGTGTACGTATGAGTCAACCGGAAGTCGATTAGTTTCCATTGGAACCTTTTTTTATTATTTTTTTCCTCCCCCACTCTGGAATTTGCCTCCAGTCCATTGAAATCTTTTTGCTCTCTGAGGGATCGAACTGTGCGCGAGGAAGCTGGAAAAACAAATTAGCTTGCAGGCTTTTCAGTTGCTTGACCATGTGTGCAGTCAGATTGTGTGTCTATAGCTGGTTTAGCAAATTTAACACATGCTGGCTATAAAAAAAAGCAAATGCATACTGTTTTTTACAAAATACGTGGCCAACCCCCTCAGTTATCTATGCATTACTGATCTGTTTCAATTAAACTGGGGGATGATAAACTGATAAAACGAGCCGCTTTCCCAATGTTCCAGGGAAGTTTCCATCTATCCATGAAGAAATGTAATAATCTGAATACTCTACAGACTTAAATACACCAAGTAAAGGTGTGGAAACCAGACGTGAACCTCAAGAAAACGAAGATATATGGAATAAATTAGGCAGTATATCTGCTGTATTGTAGACCGTAAACGTTAGCATGTCCAGATAGCTCGCTTGCTTCCTTTACTGGTGTTGTTGAAGCTTTACTTTCAAGCCAGTTCATGTTAGCGTATGGACTATGTAGTAGTTCTACTCAGTGCACAGTTATGCTATGTTATGCTAACGTTAGCCACTCTGTCCCAAACCCAGATTTACTCGACTATTACATTGAAACATGATTTTAGTGTTTTTTTTGGGTTTTTTTTTAACTCTTTACGAGGTTACATGTAAGATAGAAAAAAAACAAATCCTATCATAATAATTTTGCTGGAGCTTTCCTCAGCATGAAGCTTAAGCTAACGCTAGCATCCTGACCCAAATTCACAACACAGCTTGCGTGTTACATCCAAGGCCCCTTTCTTTTTGGGGTTATTTTTTTTTAATAAAAGCATTCGTGATTTTGTAATATCTCCATATTATAGGGACATTTTTTCTTAGTTTAAGCTAACATTAGCCGTTCCGTCCTGACCTCTATTAGATTGGGGGATGCTTGTAGTCTTGCAACACGAACCAAAGTAGCTAGCCAACTTAGCATTCGGAGTTATGTGCCTCCCAAACAATTTAGTGATATTTTACCTTTTTGATATGTACAAAACTTTTCAACAAACAAAAACAAATTCAGAGTCGTTTTCATCCAAGTTCTGGAGCTACTGTTAGCTTGTTAGCTAACTAATACAATCTAGAAAAGAGAAGCTAAATCCAGAACTTGTTGCAATAAATTCCTACAACATGAATTTTAGCTGTAAAATCGGCCCATTGTTGCTGTGAACTGTGTGAGAATTTGAAGCTTGACAAGCGAAGCTAGCAAAGAGGGAAGGGCTCAGTGGAGCTCCCACCGTTCTACTAGCATCCACTTCGTCCGATCTCATCTCCTGTCCCTCTGTCCGTCTCTTCTTGCCTTCCCTCCCCAGCCGATCTGTCCTCCTCTCCAGCCGTCCTCCGAGCCTGTCCACAACCCAACGGTCTCCTATCCTCTTCCTCCTCCTCTTCCTCCTTCTCAGTTCCTGCCCGTCTGTCCTAACCAACAGTACACTGTGGTACAGAACTTCTTTCTTCCATTTTATTATTCCTCCCCTCCTCCCCCCTTTGCTCCATCTCCTGTCAGATCTGGCTCATTAAGAGTTTATTTATAGGCTTTTCTCTCAGTAGTTAGATTAGTTAATTAAACTCTGACACAAATGTCCAGAAAGTCAAAGAATTCAGCTCAGTTTATGTCTAAAGAAATGCTGTGGGCTCTGCTTCGACCCTCCGTACTGCATCTGAGTGCCTCGTTAATAAGCTCCTTAACAAATTAATACCAGTAATGTATATTTAAAGTGTTCCTGTATTATTTGCTGCACATATTCTTTTAGTTTCTTTGAACGTGGCGGCACGCAGCGTGTCGTTCACTTCCTGTTTTTGGCTTCTCCTAACGAGGCAACATCTCACCTTTCAGAACTCCAGAACACACCTCGTTAGGACCACAGCTCACCGTTCTGTGAGCGTTTTCCTTATAGGAAGGTGTGTCTGAATCCAGGAGGAGCCATTACCCACATATGTAGATCATGCATTCACTTAACCTCATTTCTGACCTGGTTTTAGTGAAAGACATGCCTCTGCGACTAATTATGCCTGTGGAAAGTTCCATTAATATTTAATTCATCACCAGATGTTAGCGCTGAATAATCCATGACTAAAAACACCACTTTTCCAACAACATGTCAGAAGTGACCCGGACTGGTGTGCGCTGCTGGTAGCGGATGAATCGTCCGCTTTAGGCTGGACGGGTCTCCGTAGACCTGGGTCAGATATGAGCTCTCCGCATTTGTTTAAACCTTTCAAGTGAAAGTCAATTTAACAAATGTCTTTGATTTAGCGCTTAGCTTGGAAACTGTCCCCGGTGGTGGATCTGTATTGATCCGTATTCTGAGCAGAGTTAATGAGTTAACTACTGTGACCCGGGTTCTGATCGTCGCCGCCCCTGTGCTGTACATTTATATGTATGCGGTGAAGTCTGGTGTCGCGTTTAATTCACCGCTTGTTAAAAAATGTAATTGCCTCCGCAGCCTGACGCCCTCAACGCCCAGTTCAGTCACATGACTCTGGCGCAGCAGCCGCCCAATGACAGCGGGGCTTCGGCTCCAGATGGCCGCCACTACCCCTCCGTGTACCACCACCACCACCACCACCCCTCCCAGGTGGTGCTGCAGGGAGCTCCTCCGCAGCAGGTCGCCAGCTACGTGGTGGCCGGGCCGTCGGGAGGACACCCCGGGGTGCTGCAGGGTCAGCCCGTCCCGCTCCCGACCCAGGGCCCCGGCCACGCGTACCCCAGCTCCACCCCGGGCCCCGCTGCTTTTCCCGGAGCCACCCTGAACCAGCCGCTCCTGCAGCAGCACACCTACATCCAGCAGCCTGTCCAACAGGTAGACGTTTGAGCCGCACATCTGAAAATCAGCGGTTTGAAAATGTGGTGATTTGTCATCGTGAGTCACTCCTGCAGTGAAAAGCAGCTTCATGACTAATCCTTCAATGCTGCTCTGGCTGTGAAGTGGATTCAAATGGGGCCGTGATGCATCGTGCAGTCCTTGAATCCCTGTTATGTGTTTCTCGCAGATGTCCACGTGTTACTGCTCTTCAGCTCATCACCCACACTGCTCCAGCCAGCAGCAGCAGCAGCAGCAGCAGCAGCAGCAGCAGCAGCAGCAGCACTACCGACCGCACGTCAACGCGCTGCCCTATAACTGCCCTCAGAGCCAAAACCTGCCCCAGCAACAAGGTACAAACACGGCCAGTATTTCCAAATGAGAAAAGTAATTTTTATTGCGATGTCTCTCTCAGCAGCCACACAATCAGTCGCCTTGATTGTCATTAGAACCGTCCAGAGGTGCACACCTGGACGCCAAACAGCAGCACCTTCCTTTTCTCTTCTCCACTTTCCTCCGTTAAACCACAAATGATTCAAACAAAGCTTTGAAGTAGCTGCACAGTGGATCTGAAGACAAATCAAAGAACGTTTTAATGAATTAGATCCACGGTTCCCCTTTCAGAGCTGCTTCATTGTGAGTCGTCCTCCGTAGACTTTGTTAACTTCCCCCTTTGAGCCCTCAGATAGCATTTTTGTTGTTTGTTTCTTCGCGAGGGAGCGACGCCCGCCGCAGTCCGGCGAAGGACAAATATTCCTCCCTTTCCTTTCCTGCCTGTTTGTTTTGTTTTTTACGAGTTCAGATGTCTCCCCGGGAGTCATCCACTAGATTATTCTGTTTTTGTTTTTTTTTTCCTTCACCACAGGAGTTGAGGTTGTTAGCTCCTGCTCACACACACACACACACTCATGCAGGCAGGCAGTTACTTAACTGGATGTAACGTCGCCACAGTTGTACAATTGCACACACACACACACACACACACACGTCTCTGTAAGTGGCTGCGGCACTATTCTGTCATCTGTAGGCTGCAAATGTGGCTTCCCTGCTGGGGAACTGGGGAATAGACAGCGGACAAATGAAGCTGACCTACAAAGGCAAAGGACAGCAATTATTTCTCAGGGAAACGGGGGGAAGGAAAAAAAAAAATGACTCGGGCGCCTCGTTTCCCTTCTGTTTTTTGCATTAATTAAAGAAACACACACATGCGAGCGTCTAAAGGTGAAGATAAAGCGCCGCGGGGTTGCGCACATGATAAATAAGTTATCAATGGAAATTCTCTCACGGCCCAGTCGGTGTCCGCCGAGGGAACCTGTCAGCGTTTCCACTCACTTGCGTCAGGCAGCCACCGCCACCACGGGGCCTCGGCTCCTGTCACGGTCATTCTGAGAGAGCGTCTCGTACCGTATGTGAGGCGACTGAAGGGTTTCCGTGGTTTCCTCTTTACTGGTTATTAAACAGGAGCGAACCTGGCTTTGACAGAACCCAGCGATCGCTTCGTTTCTCAAGACAAAACCGTTTTGTGATCTCCACTTCCTCCTCAAATGTCAGCGCTGGAGAGAAAACGTCGCTCTGAATGTGTTTAATCACAGTGAGGTGGAAAAAATGGGTTGTAGATGTTTAAACCATTTTGATGCACACAACAAACCACAAGGCCTGAAACCCTGGACCTGGAGGATCAGCTACGGGTTGAATGACGCAAGTAATAAGTTCTTGTAGTGTACGTTTTAGCCCGCACAGATGTTTCTGTGAGGTTAAAAAAGGAATTTAAAGCCGCAGTTAAAAGGAAAGTACAGCTCAAGTAAAGTCAGGAAAGCTCCGTTTAATCTCATAGTTGGGTTTTGTTTTGTGTTTTGTCCAATAAACGGCAAAAACATCTGGACGGACTCTCTCAGGTCTCGATACCTCGATCAGTACATTCTACCTGTCGGTGCTCTCTGGTCTGTAGATTCCAGCTGAGCACCAACACAACGTCCGATCCCTCCGCTCCACCCGAGGAGGCGTCCGGAGCCTGAGAGGCGGGATGCGGGGCCGGGACGCTGTCTGAGAGGCCTCTATGAATCTCACAGTGAACCGGTCTCTTTTCCAGCCCCTCGCGTCTCGCCCGCAGGACGCCGCTTTTAAAGTCGGTAATCATCGTGACAAGGAGGACGACTGTAAATCTGGATGCAGGACTCAAAGCGACGGCTCTGATCCTGTCAGGACGGCGGCGAGCCCCGCTCTCACAACATCAGGACAGCCGGTCATTATCCAAGTCAAACTCTTCCCTCGTGCGCTGCTGGCTGGCTGGAAGGGGAATAAAATAGGGTGCGTTTGATATCATGGTCATTTCATGCTTGGTTTGTAAGTGAAGGTGGAGGCGAGGGTGGATAAAAATAGTCCTCGCTGCTCCGCTCCTCGCCGAGCTCTTTCATTGTCTAGTTGTACTTTTCTCCCAGGGCGGCAGACTGTAAAGACACCTTCACAAAAGGACGTCCTCTCCTTTGTCACTTGGATTGCTGTGTGTGTGTGTGTGCGAGTGTGTGTGTGTGTGTGTGTCACGAGGGACAGTATTTTCAAATGTCTCTTTTTGTCACCTTGACATTTAAGTGTCTGATTTACCCCCAGCCTCCGGTCAGGAACAGCAGCCGCCATTTTAGGCCGTTTGGAAAATGGTCGAGTGACATTGCTTCGTCTTTTCTGTCGTTCTCCTCTGGCCTCCTCTAAATGGGTTTTTAATCAGTACTGTAGGAATGAGATGTCTCGTTGAAGTTTTTTGTTTTTTGTTTTATTTCCCCCCTGTCCTCCCGCCTCCCTCCCTGGTAGAGGAGTGGCTCGACCGCTCAGGTTTCAGGTTCGGGCCACCGCAGGCTAAATCAGATATATTGACTTTCTCATTTATTCCAAGTGCCTCAGACCTGCTTAGCTGTAACAGCTCAACTCCTCCGACTCCCATTGTTCTCAGCCTGACGGAGCTTCTTTGTTGTGATTGTTTTAACAAGCAAATATCGCTTTCAAATCAATAAAGTGTTGGACGATTTTCTTGTAAAATCTTGATGGCCGTGCCGTTTTTTGTTTTTTTCTTTCCTCCCCCGCTATGCCGTGCAGGAATCATGAATATTAAATGTGCCGTTTTCAGGGGTTATTATTGTCACTGTGTTCCTATCTGGAGTCTCTTTTCATTCGGTCACAGCGTTGTGCCTTTTCTCATTTTGCCCCAGTGCACCAAGCCGTGATGCCAAACCCAGCGCCCAGCTACCAGACCGTAGTGGGCGTGCAGCCAACACCCAACCTCGCTCTCACTGGCAACCAGCAAAGCAATATGGGCAACCAGATGCAAGGCATGATGGTCCAGTACCCTCCAATGCAGTCTTATCAGGTACTGTGATGACGGGACGCCTCTGTGAGCGTCAGATAGGTTCATATTAGCAGCGTCGAAATGAAAGAGAGCTTCCACCAACAGCACGGGCCGACCATTGTTCTCCGACGAGGCTGTTTGCGACTCTTTATTCACATCGAGGCTCGAAAAGAGACGAGAGCTGCTTCAAAAATAAGAGCTTGATGTTGATTAAAAACACAGCAAGTGTTGACTTTTCAGTTGTTTGTCGTTAACATTTAGGAAAATACAAAACCAAGCCTGAAATGGTTTTAAATAAGAAGATTAAAAAACATTGATAGTACAGTCGGTAGCCATGTTTCTGAACATATTTGTATTCATATTTTAAAGTATTGCATTGGGGACAAAAAAGTCAGTGATGGTGACAAAATTTCAAAAAAATATCCCTAATTTTAAAATAAATAAACATTACGCTTGTTAAAGTTGGTGTCTGACCTTTTGAAAACAGTTAATGTACCCAATGGGAGATAGAAACACCTTTTCTCTGATGTAGCGACGGGGTAATTTTAATTTCTCTGATTGTCTTTGCTTCCTCATTTGTTTTCACAAAATATTCAAATGTTAGCTTCAAATTCACTTGACTATTACATAAAAACATGGCTTGTGCATTACTTCTAAAGCCCATTACTTGGTGGGGTGGGTAGTTAGTTAGTTAGTTAGTCTTTGTTTTGTGTTTTTTAGCACTCATGTTAGCATATTAACTGTAATATCTCCCCACAAACTGCAGCTACTTTGTCTGAGTTTAAGCTAACATTAGCTGTCCTGGCATCACCTTTGTTAGCTTGCAGTTTAGCAACGCTAGCCAAACTCATAACCCAAATAACATGTACGTAGTTAAAATATTGGCATGTATGTTAGCTAGCAGCCTTAATAGTGTTACTTTGTTGTTTTTTTAGCACTCGTGTGCATATTAACGGTAATATCTCCCCACAAAGTGCAGCCACTTTATCTGAGTTTGCGCTAACATTAGCCATCCTGTCCTCACCTTTGTTAGCTTGCAGTCTAGCAACGCTAGCCAAAGTAATTAACAAACAACATGAAAATATACGTCATTAAAATATCAGCAAGTATGTTAGCTAGCAGCCTTAACAGAGTTACTTTACTGCTAAATAGCAGACTTAACTTTTTCCTTGTTAGACTTGAGTGAACTACCGGCTGTAAAGAAAGCCAGAAATGTTCGCATATAAACTGTAATATCTCCCCACAAAGTGCAGCTACTTTATCTGAGTTTGCGCTAACATTAGCCATCCTGTCCTCACCTTTGTTAGCTTGCAGTTTAGCAATGCTAGCCAAAGTAATTAACAAACAACATGGAAATGTACATCTTTAAAATATTAGCAAGTATGTTAGCTAGCAGCCTGAACAGAGTTACTTAAGTGCTAAATAGCAGACTTAGCTTTTTCCTTGTTAGAGTTGTAATAATAGCGTGAACTACCGGCTAGAAATGTTAGCATGTCCGGCTACCTAGCTTACTTCCGACTCTAGCAAGTATAACCGTGCTTATGTAATGTATTTTCTGCACATTTCAAAATATTAGTGTTTTTGAATTTCTGGAAAAAGAGCCGTTTTCCACTTCTTTTATTGTCTTAACGTCGACTTCTCTCCATTTTTCTCTCCTACATTAATTATTTTTTCTTCATGTCGGTTTTTAAGCTGCTAGCAAACAACTGGTTTTGCGTCACAGCCATATATAACGTAGCCTGAACCGCCACTTTCTAGCGACTCGAGCTTATTCAGGCCGAGGCAGTTAATGGAAACGAGCCAAACTCACATTTCTTCCTTTTTGCAGCATTTCAAAACTTCGCTTTCAAATCAGCTTGACAGTTAAATAGACACACGGCTGCTGCTGCTGTCAGAGAAGAAGCATTGTTTCTGTTTGCTTTGTTTTATTGCTTGACTTCCCCGTTCCAATCCTGTTTTCTTTCTTTCTTCTGCAGCAGGTTTCAGTCCCTCAGCAGACGTACCAGCAGCCAGTGTTTGTGTCCTGCCAGCCAGGACAGGGAGCAGTGGCTGTTGCTGGCATGCAGCCCTGCTACAGCCTGATCCCCCCGAACCAGCACACCACCATGAGGTACGAGTCCACGGCCGGGACGGTCCCCGTGATCCTCAGTTTTAAAAAAGTCACGGTACAGGGGGCGATATCCGGTGGATCAGTGGGGATTTATCCACTGAGGCCTGCAGCAGAACGATAAAAACAGCACTTTAGTTTATTAGCCGGCTTTAAATAAACGGGGTTTCGTTTACCCAAGACGTCCATCACACGCTCAGATCACAAAACTGCAAAGATTTCAGTCCATGAAGGCAACACAAGCCTCTCCTGTATCAGGCCCGTTCCAACCCTGGAAGAGGATATATCATCCTCGTAGAAGCACAGTATATCAAACCGGGCTTGACGTGACAAGAACGACTGTATTCAGATGAGAAAAAAGAGAGAAAGGAGGCGGTCGGGCAGCAGGAGTCTGGAGGGTTTTTAGGTGGAGCAGCCTGAATAATGCTCTTTGTCTGACAGAAGAGAAAACCTGATTTGTTTCTGCTCAGGCATCCGATTCTGACCTTTTATTTTTGCGAGTCATGTGTTGAGCGTTGGTCTAAGAAGTGACGTTCTTGTACAGGGAGAGCAAACTTTGGGATTAATGAAGCTCTATCTGGTCTCATCTTGTGGTAATTATAGCCTGTCCCATGCTGGAGTTCTGAGGTTGGAAGTCACACAAGACTCCTTTTTTTTTTTTTTTTTTATTGCTTGTAAATGCTGCAGGAGGTTTTGATTTACTGATGTTCGTGTAAATAATCAGGCTGCGTACAGAAACCCAACAGCAGTGATCGGTTTACGAGCTGAAGGATGCCGTTAAGACCGAGGAGGCATCGAAAAACTAATCTGGATTAAAATGAGGGGAAAAGGTGACGCTACACTTTACCTTCTACATCGTCTATAAATTTGTTTTCCTGCCCGTCACCCCCAGACAGACGCTTCACCAACGTTTGTTTGTTTGCGTAAACACATGCTGTAGTTCAGCCGAGTTTCCTGAATTTGTCGTCACCAGTTTTACAGAAACTTTTTGCTAACGTGTAATGATTTTAAGCTCAGATTTCGCAGCACATCGCACCGTTAAAGGACAGAAAGTTTAAAAGAATCTGACAATTTCTTCCTCTGATAAACGATTTAATTATTTTCTCCGATCACTAACCGTTCAGACCCGCCGGTAGTTCTGAGGTTGTTCGTTTCTGAACTTTCCACGCGTATCAATACGTTGATGAACGAGCGTAATCACGTTCAAGTCACGTTTTATTTCTGTATTTTTAATAACCCCGTTTGCATTGATCCATTTTTTTTTTGTAATCGATTAGTCAGAAGTCCTGAAATGTTAATTGTGTTTCCCGGTGCATTGTTTTGCTCCAGAATTAGCTCGTGTTTACACTGGTAATAAACTCCCGCTGATTTATGTTCCTGCTCTCCTAATGACAGTTTGTAATAGCAGAAGTGGCTTTAATCAGGTTTGGATGAAATAATTAGCCCGGCCTGAGCTGTACTTTGTCCCAGAAACCGATTTGCAGGTACTTGCTGGTGTTTCTCTCTCCTGAAGGTGCCTCTTATTTATAGGCCTGATGAGTGAATCCCCAAAGCACCTCTGAGACAAGGTCATCTTTGCTCACCGTGGGGGGAAAAAAATGGAGTTATTACCACGATGCTTTTGGTGAACCGGGTCCGCGTATAGCTGATGAATGTCGAGTCTGACGCCGCCTCAAACAGCTCCGGCCGTTTCCCTCCATTACCGGGAGAAGTGTGCAGCGCCTCTCATTATAGCTGATTGATAGAACGAGTTCACAGAAAGCAAAACATGTAATTAGTTTCTACCTCCGCGGACCCAATCAATCTGGATACTGGTGAGCGGAGCACTACTGGGACCGCGTACACGTAACAAACACGGGACGGGAAGGCGGCCGCGGTCGTCACCGGCACGAGAACAATGCAAAGACGCTCGCTAGCGAGGAGAGGTCACGTTCTCATTGTCCCAGCTGTAAAATGAGGCTGCTTTAGTAGGGCAGTCAGCGCCGAGATGATTTATGCGGCAGCGCTGGATGGGCTCAGGCGTCTCCCACGAGGGCCGACTGTCCACCTGCAGCCTGCTTCCTCCACCAGCTGGAGACGAGTCCCCGCAGGCGGGGTGCTTACGGAGCACAGCGCCTACTTTCCAGATGGACTTAAAGTTAGACTTCAGATTTAATACCCCGACTGCAGCGCTAAGATTACACCTCCAGATCTGTGGAGGAAGATTTCTCTGAGGTGGCTTCATCTCGTCAGGTGTTCGTGGCACGTGTAGGAATTAATTAATGACGTTAGAAATCACTGCTGTTGGAGCTTCAACACGTTAGATTGTTAGACGAATAATTGCTGCAAGGAAAGCGACAAAAATATGAAATAAAAACGTCACTGAACCCCTCAAAAGTCTTGAATTTTCTAACCACAACCTTTCGTCTTCAATCCCAGTTCAACAGTGAGTTTCCTGCCCGCCCCCATGATGGAGCAGCTCCAGTTTCCTCAGACCTCGTCGCCCTGCATCTCCCAGCAGCACCCGGGCCAGCAGTATGCAGGTACGCTCAGCTCACCACAGACCAGACAGAGGTCCAGCTTCAAACATCTGCAGTAGGATCACGCGCCTGAGTGCGAATATTCACTTTTTCTGACATTAGCCACCCTGGAGATTCCCCGTCACTGCCACGGCGCTCCCACATCCTTTATTTTCCCCATCTCTCAGTGTCAATATCTGCAGAACGGATTCCTCCGCAGCCACGACCCGCACTTCATAATGAAATAATCTTCTCTGGGTTTACTTTGCCGATGTATGTGCGTCGGACGCGTGATTAGATTTACACTCCGGATTTTCAAAATGAAAAAGAGCGAGGCGCGCCGATGACGGGTCCCCGGAGTTCGGATAAGTGAAAGTGATTTGCACATGCGCCTCTTCCACCCGGAGCCGGACGGAGATTAAACGGTGATTAGGTCGACCGCTGCAAACGTTACGCTGACGTCGAGCCCGGCCAGAAACGCCGCGAGTGTTTGCTGCAGTGGAAAACTATTAAAGTAAGAAATCACCGATGTCATCGCTCGGCGGAGGCGGCGCTGCATTGAGACGCAGCATCGTCACGTGGTCGAGCGTATCCTCCAGTTTAATTGAGGATATATCTTATTTCCCAGTTGCCCCACTCTGAAATGATGATTCTCGGTTTAATTTAACGTGGTCATGGTTGGGTAGTAACGTTTCATGTTTACAGGATGTGAGTGTTGATGTGGATGTAAAGTTGTAGCGTTGAGCGCTCGAGGGCAGCTTGTTAAGCAGCTCGCCAACAAGCAGAACTTTTAAAGAGCCCACGTGATGCTGCTCGACTTTCCTTCACTGGGTTATGTCGCTGCTTTACTCCTGCATGTAGGTCTGTTTACAATAAAGGTAGTTAAGAAAACAGAAACAACAACAAAAACAAATCAAATTAGCTTTTATTACTTGCTTTGAAGTGGTTGAACTCGGTAGAAGGTTAAAAAAAAAAGTCAAGCGATCCTAAAATTGACGTTTTTTATAATTGTCATCCTTCGATTTTGTTTTTTTTTAAGCAAAGATGAATAAAAATATGCTTTGAAAAGACGACGACTGCTCCTGAAACACCTGGTTTAAAGCCCCGCCTTGTCCTCCGTTACTTATCGACATCATCACGTCACACATTAGCGTAAAGGTTTCCTCACTAGCGTCACCTCAGCTAGCATCCCCAGACGTCTTAACTTATGTACCAACGTTGCATTACTTTTGTCCGATCAGATTTTATTCGACCAATCAGAGCAGACTGGGCTTTTCAGGAGGAGGGGGCGGGGCCTTAAAGAAACAGTGACAGAATTTGCTGCAGCAGTTTAAAGTACAAGAAAAAATAACGTGTTTTTGAGCATGAAAAAATAATTCCAGAAGACATCCAAAATGACATTTATTAAAGATTCTAAAAGTTAAATGAGCATCATGTGGGCTCTTTAAAATCTGATTTTGCGATACGTCACAACGTAAACAATCCGTCTTGATGCGTATATCTGCAGTAAGCTAACATTAGCAGACGTGTCGCTATAATCGGGGGAACAGATGGATGAAACGACCGAGGTGACATTAAAAAACACAGAACATTAAAATAGACTAAAACCCCAATAACAAGCCTTCGTTTCTCGGTTATTTCCTGCCCGTTGTGTCGCCGATTCTCCGTCCAGAGGCCCAGGTGGGGCAGTCTCCTCGCTAACGACCTTTATTATTCATGTCTGATTATTACGGCAGCGCTATGGAGGGAGCCATCATCTCCAGCCCGTCGGTAATGAGGTCAGATGAAGGTCTGAGGACGGCCTTACCTGCAGCGTGACCAGTAAACACTTTTAATTGGCTAGGCCGGGGCCAGGAATCATCTGCAGATTAAGCCCAAGCGTCCGTCGTCCTTGTTACTGTTAGGCGGCGGCGTTTCATAAATCAACAGCGGCGTGTGAAGTTTGCGTACGACTTCCGCCTCGCGTGAGCTCAACGTAAACAGAAATTAATTAGTTTGTGAGCTCGCGAGCGGGACGGTCTTGATGGATTGTTTTTTCTTTTTATTAACCGCACGGTCATGTGCCACAAACGGATAATTTAATTGGATCCCGGCAGAGGATTGAGCGGGAGAAGAGAATGGACTCTGTTATTGCCACTATCAGCGTGCCCTTATAATGAAGGCACTTAAGACCTAATTGCTGTGTGAGAGCGCCGTTTCCGCTGATGAGGTGTGTCGCTGAACAAAAGTGCCGGAAAGGAGCTTTGGGGCAAAAACACATTTAGCGCGGCGCACCGACGACGAGCCGACGTGATGAATTGAACGACCTGATTTGACTCCTCGTTGTTGTGCTTCTTTAATTTGTGTGTGTGCAGGGCTGTTACCCCCGGCCCCCGGCGGCGGCATGGTGATGCTGCAAATGACGGCGCCCCCCTGCCAGCAGCCCCGGGCCCCCTCCCCCTGCCAGAGGAAGCAGCCCGGCCACAAACACTCGGGCCCGGATCACCAGCGCAGCCGCCGGCCCGCCGAGCTGCCTCCGCTTCCAGACAACACACAGGTACAAACGCTGCCCGGGTGCATCCATCAGGCAAAGACAAACCGCCTCGCTTAATGGCTTTCTGGACGACTTTCTGTATTTATCACCTTTTTTGAAAAAGAAAAAACCTTTGCAGAGAACATTTAATTAGCTCGGCGGCCCAGAGGTTTCCGACTTGACAGCAGCAACTTCCCGAATAATTTCAAATTGAATTGTGAGTTTGTTTAGCCGATGTTTGGCCACACAGGACAATGCCGCGCATGTCACAAAGTTAAGACGGTCACAAGAAAGCAATTTGAAAGCCAATTTGGTTCGGTTGTCTGAGTCTGACTGTGACGTGAGAATTGTCGCCTTGAGCCAAACGCAGCCGCCGCCGCCGCCGCTCAGGCAGGTTAAATGTCGTCCTAAATAGGCTCCGCAAATGAAGTGAGCGCCGCTGAAACCTGAAAATGAGGAGAAAATAGTCCTCGGCATTAGGGTGTAATGGTACATTAGTGGGACTAATGTGGATGGAACGGTACATTAAAGCAACAGCTCCAACAACACGATGACTTTGTGTCGCCAGAGTTGCTGTTTCTGAATGAAAGTGTTTGTGTTGGTCCTCCTGTCTCCTCTCTGCACCGTCGGCGTGTTGTGTGTAGAGCAGCCTGCCCTCGTCTCCGGCACTCACTCCTTCGCCAGGCCAGCCGCCCAGCGTCAAGGGCCTCCCGTCAGGCATCTCGCCCATCCCTGTCATGGCCCACCACCCGCACCACCACCCACAGCTCCCTACAGCCTTCTGCCACAGTGGACAAGGTCAGACTCACGGCGCTGTTTACTCACTGACACACACAGACAGATAGAGGGCTGTGAGTTAGAGCTCTGAGGTTCCTCGTACATGATGTATTTTGGGTTTATTGACTTTTATTTGACAAGAGAGACGAGGAAGTGGGAGGAAACGGGGGATGATGTGCAGCACATGATCCAGCTGGTTTTGAAGCACACAGATAAACTCGACTATCAGGTTGCCGCAAATTAGCTTTCTTTGTTTTCTGTTAGTTTGCAACCTCCTGGTAGTTAGCTAGCTGCCTAGCTTCTATCGGATCAGCAGTAGCTATCGAAGCTAGGTGGCTAATTTGACAATCCTGCTACATTCTAGTAACGTAATTACTTTAAGTAAATTAATCTAAACTGTGCACGTTAAGCTAAATAATCTAAGATTCGACAGTTGTTGGACACATTTAAATTATTTTTAAAACACAGTACAAGGGGGTGCATGTAATGAAGCTCAGCTAGCGTATTTGGCTAGCTTGATAATTGTCGTCATCCTTCCTTTAATGAAGAGGTTTTTTTTAACTCAGTGCTACAAATATGCTTAAATATGTTACTGCAGTGTTGAGTTAAATATTTATAAAGCTAGCTGACTAATTTCTATCGGATAAGCAGTAGCTATCTAAGCTAGCTGGCTTATTTGACAATCCTGCTACATTCTGCGTTTACTGAGGCAACTAGTAAATTAATTTAAACTGTGTGCATTAAGTTAAATAATCTAAGATTCAACCATTGTTGGACACATTGAAATTTATTTTTAAACATGATACAAGATTGTGCATCTAACGAACCTCAGCTAGCTTATTTGGCTAACTTGATCATTGTAGTTATCCTACGTTTAGTGACGAGTTTTTGTTTAAAGTCAGTGCTACAAATATGCTTTAATATGTTACTGTAGTGTTGAGTTACATATCTATATAGCTAGCTGACTTGCTAGCCTTCTTGTAGCACGCTTTTAAAATTAGATGTAGCATACCGCATCCAACAAATGTCAAATAATTAATTTATTTTCATGTACAGACACAGTTTTAGTTCATATTTTAAGTAACTGCATTATGACGTATGAATGAATGTCTTAGCATCCTCAAATTAGCCAGCTAACTCTGCTAGCATAACGGAAATTAGCGAGCAGGCTCCCTACAACGAAGGCTAGCTTATGAAGCTAATAAACTACCTCACAAACTGAATTTTTTAAACCTAAGTGTGCACCCAAATTTGCAACAACTAGTAGAGGGAATCTGTGAGAGATTATAATTTGCTTTCTAAAAGTCTTCCTCTGCACCCAAAGCATCCTTTTGTGTTCTAGACTTAAAGCACAGATGTTCAGTTTTGGATCTTTGAGTTAATGTGACCGTTTTTTTTTCTGTGTTTTTGCTGTGACGTCCAGGTGAAGCGCACTATTCTCTACTGGGCCAACCTCTGCAGTACAAACCCTCCATCAGACCTCCGCTGATCCACACTGCACACATGATGGCCAAACACCAAGTAAGAACTAAAAACGTTTACTGCACTTATTTCTGACGAACCCTGAACTCAGCATGCGTAAGACTGAAAACAATGATGGCTCTACATGCTCTAGATAGCTCTGATGGCTAACGGTTGTGCCGAGGAGCGCAAAGTTTTAGTTTTTTTCCTGAATGTGGTTAAAACTAATGTTGTATTTTTAGGAGATTCTTGTGTCACGATTCTAGGCTTAGATTTGGTTTAATTTCCTGACCGACCAGCCCACCACCGATGAGTCACAAAGCCCAAAATCTAACGATTCACTCTGATTTATCTGTAATAAATTATGTCTTTCTGGCTTCTTTTTTTTTCTCCCCAATGATAAAACGTCTTTCAGCCAGTTTCGGAGTTCAAAAGGTCGAACTTTAAAATCTTCCATCATGAAGAAAAGTTTTTTTTTTGAGCTTGAAAGTGAAAATTGTGGCTCTTTTATTAAAAATTTCCCGACAAGGTTATTTTTTCAAGTCGGTTTTCTTTTCTTTTCTTCGTCCCTGCTGCCCTCCGTTAATGAACTTACCCGCCTTCCTCTGTCTCCTCAGGGTCCACTGGGGGTTTGGCGTAGCGGTCACGGGAGGAAGGCCAGCAGGAAGCCTCTGTCTTCAGATCTCAGTGTAGGTGAAGCAGGTAATAGGAGGTCCAGAGGGAGGCTTAGTGAAGTTAGTCGTGTTTCAGAGCTTCTGACTGACGTTTGACCTCGTTCCAACACAAAAAGGAAAAATGTAAATGCTATAAGTGCTTTTTTTTTTTTTTTTAATCTAATTCAGTCGCTTCAGGCTTCAGATCAGAAACAGAACCTCACGCTGAGATCCACCACGTGATGGATCCAGCTGCTCTGTAGCCTACCTGGCAGATTAAGTGAAGTAGCGTCGCCTCCTCATTGTGTCGGCCCGCTGCGCTCCGACGCTGTGGAAAAACGGCGTGTTTGTGAATGTAAGCAGAATAAATCACAGACGGGGCAGAATCCACACCTGGCAGTGGAACCTGCAGCCCCGGCAGGATCGCGCCGACAGAAATGTGCTGATTATTCCGAATATCGCGCTGTAATTTCTGCACGCGCCGAGGTATTTTTCTGCATTATTCAGGCGCTCTTGTCAACAATCCCATCAGGACAATCATAGCGGCGGGAGGAGGGAGGAGGGAGGAGGGAGGAGGAGGGCTGGTGTGAAGCCTGTTTTTCAGATAAATTAAGGCCGACAATCGTGCATTTTTGAAAACCTAATATTCGAGCGCGGCTTATATATTCGATAGCTTTGACCGTCCTTCCAGCGCCGAGCTCTAAACAGCTGACGGCGGCAGTTTGTTGAAGCCTCCCGATGGTGCAGGTCTGATTCTTCCCTCCACCCGTGACGGTTGTTTTATTTACCGGCCGGGCTGCTCACAGTGCTGTCTGTGTGTCTGCAGTGAGCAGTCAGATGCTGGAAGTGACACGTCCTCCGGAGGGGATCAGCTGTACAGACTCCCACCGCCTCCTGGCAGAGCTCTGCAAAGGGGGCGGACTGATCCGGCGGCTGTCGGACCACCAGCCCCGGCTGTGCGACGCCACCAGAGACGCTCCCGGCGGAGACTTGGCCTCATCATACTCTATCTTCGCCATGCTCCCCTCCAGATACGCCACCCCGAGCGCCGCGCTCCACCACGCCGGCCCCCAGGGCACCTTTAAACTCCGAACTAGCACCAGACACAAAGGGGAGCTGTGCGACTGGGACCGGGCCGGCTCATAGCTGCTACGATCTCGGTGCGTCGACAAGGAGCGCCACATGAACATGCGCACATCCAACCACCTGCCTCTGTTGCCTCAGTCTGGACTGTCTCCCAGACTCTGTCCAAATATCAAGCGTTTGAAGAATGAATGTTCACTTTTGTTTTTCTTTTTTTTTCTTCTTTGGTTCCGGCCAACAGGTCTGTGCAGGGTGGAAACCGATGCACCAAAACTTCTTTGTAAAATGTGGCTGCTGAGCTCAACTGAAAAACAAAAAAAAACCCGAGTTTGCTGTTCTGAAGTGTTCTTTTGTTTTATTTCTTTTTTTCTTGGAGATCCACTGTGGCTGTTCTAATAGCAGGCGTGCGAGTGTGACGCGGCGCCACATCAGGAAAAAAAAACGCGCATAGACCTGTTTGTTTCTAGAATGTTTTCTTTGTGCCCACTTTAGAAGATTAGACCGTATAATAATCGTGTTTAAATCATATCACATGTTTGGTTTGGTTCACCTTTGATCGACACCCGTACAATTAGAAACACTGAATGACAAATATGCTACCTGAGTTATCCGAAGTCACCGTTCAACACAGTGAATGTTGCATTTGCACTGAAGTGATGATGGAGATGGAGATCGGTATCGGACAGAGCCTGGATTTTCTTTTATTTACCCCCCCTCTAATACCTGTTTGTTGCACTCGACCAGGCCACTTTGTTTTATATATTAAATTAAAATGTTTATATGCACAAGAAAAATGCAATCGTCACTCATATGTTTCTGTGTGAATCATGAGAGGTGTTCTGTGTATGGTGTGGCTATTTTTATTTTTATTTTTGGTTTTTGGTTTGACTCTAATAAATGTTTGCACCACACGTGTTGACGGAGGTTTTTCGCCCCTGAAGCTAAAAGCATGATGACAAATTAGAAGCTCTAATTGAAGACGTTTCCTGAAATAAGCAACAGATGAGGCAACGCGTTGCTGAACGTTGCCGTGAGGTTCGGGCCTGCTGGGCTTTCACGGATCTCATGTGCAGCTGCAGCAATGAGCCATTTTGTATGAGGGGAGCCCGACGTGGAGAAACAGCGACACCCAGCGGCCATGTGGTGCAACTGCAGCGCAAAGTTTCGAGGCGGAGTGAAAGTGAAACTACAGCAGATAAGTGTTGGCCAGCAGCGGGTGTGTTTATAGCAACGCGGGTTCAAACGTAGTGACCGAGCCGTTAACCGTCATGTTCCAGTCGTGATGGAGAACCGGGAGAACCGCAGCACGGTGGTGGTGTCCGGGGTTCCCGCCGCGCTGCCCCTCCACAGGATGGCGGACAAGCTGACCGTCCACTTCCAGACCCGCCGAAGGAGCCACGGAGGAGACGTGAAGGCGGTGGAGTACCCCACCGACATGGACGGAGTGGCCTTCGTCACTTTTGACAGAGCTGAAGGTAAAACAGCAGCTCGTAGCCGAACTCCGGCTACATGCTAACATGTAGCATGTTAGTCAACGCGCCAGAGTCCATTCAAAAAATTACAGTTTTAAGAAATGAGCCCCAGTTTGTGCCTTTTTGCACATTACTACTACAGGGGAGTTAATTTACAGAAAAATAATCACAGCAAACGTGAGAACGTCTTTGTAAAATATCACCTAAATGCAAAATTATTCTAAATTCAATCCCCTTTTAATAACTGCATTGGTTTGTTGACTCATAACTCTTATGAACAATCAGAAACAAACACTAAATTGAAAATACAGACTCCAAAATGGAAACTGCAACAATACTGAGTCTATCAGTGATTTCCAATCAGCCTAACTGCATTTAAATGTTTATATTAAAATAATAACTGCAGCCCAATAGTTAACCAAATAATAATACTGATGATGCCTATAAGGCAGGGGTGTCCAATCCTGGTCCTGGAGGGCCACAATCCTGCATGTTTTAGATGTTTCCCTTCTTCCAACACACCTGATCCACATGATCAGGATCGTTATCAGGCTTCTGCAGAGCTTGATGATGAGCTCATCATTTGAATCAGGTGTGTTGGAAGAGGGACACATCTAAAACATGCAGGATTGTGGCCCTCCAGGACCAGAGTTCGACATCTCTGCTATAAGGTCGACTTTATCGACTACGCTGAAGTGCAAAATATAATTAAGAGTACATCCAGTAAACCACACGATGTTTTGTTAATAACTTTTATCACATTTTGCTCCTGAAGTCCGGCCTGCTGCTGGGATCTTAATCCTTCTGAAGAGTTTTGAACCAACAGTCTGGTGGTCTGATCTGGTTTTAAAGCACAATCCTCTTTCCAGATTTGATTAAACATCAAATCTGATCAGTTTCCTTCTGAACCGCCGGGCCGTAAAGGTTGCTCACATCAACCAAGTCGTGCCACTTTTGCTTCCTCCAAACAAAGACGGTGACAGGAAGTGACATTTAATTTACTGTCAACACAAATTTAAAGACGCCCTCCAGACATGTTTTAATAAACGTGACAAAATACCGTGCTTTGGCTGAACAACAGTGTCTGAAGTTTTTTAAAAGTGAATATATGCAAATACAAGAATTATTTATTTGAAAACAACAGTTATGGCGTCACAAAGGGAGAAACTTTTACCCCTTCTGGAGATGAAAGTGAAACTAAAACTCTACATCATTCTGCATAGCGAGGGTAAAAAATAAACAAGAAAAACACATTTTTAAATAAAGAGGCAGCTTTAATATTTATAAATTATACTTTCATACATCAAAAATGCATTCATGTTGTTCTTTTGTTCAAAAAGAGCCAGAAAATACAGTCAGTTTTACAGATTTAAAGCAATTTTCTGACATTTTTTGTTCTTTTTTTAAAATCTAATGTTAGAAACATGTGACATAGATTTTGTAGATTTGTGTGTCCTACACTGTACGGCCTTACGCTCACGTACTGTCACATGAAAGCAGCGTTACACTGGTAGATAACGAGTGGAGCCGGGCTCTGCTCACGCTCTGTGACAAGAAACAGCAGCCCGGCTTTGTGGATTCATGAGGCATCATTATATCGGTGACCTGCGTAGAGAACAGTGCAAACTCTTGGCAGATGCAGCGAGTGTGGTGAGGAAGGAGCAGCAGATCATGACGGACAGCGAGTTTCCCCAAGAATACGTCCTGACTGTGTTTCCCTTCAGCAGAGACGTAAGTGTGAACATCAGATTAAAGCAGCTTCCTGTGTTTGAGATACGAGGACGGATGGATGACGTTAGATCCTGATCCAGATGTGCTCTTGTGCTGCAGGTGTTTGTGTACGTCGCCAGCGCTACGGTCGACCTCTCCGTGTTCGGCCGAGATCAGGCGTCGCTGATTAAGAGTCTGCAGTCGACTCACAGGTCGCTTCGGTTCCAACCTTTGGTCCAGAGTCAAGCCTCCATCGAGGGTCCTTTCAGCGCCGTCCAGGCCCTGAGAGAGGACCTCATCCGCAGGGCCAGCCGGCTTAAATCCACAAACTCAGCCGTCAAACTAACAGAGACTCCTCTTAATCCGAGGCTAATATCTCATCACAGGCCTGTCGGCTCTGTAAGCCGCAGCGGTTCTAAAGCTAAGCGGGAAGCAGCGAGCTCGAGCAGCTTATCGACGTCGCTGCAGAGCACAGGTGAAGCCAGTGAAGTCCAAAGCCTGCACTCAAAGGCACAAACTCCAAACGCTTCCTCCAGGCGAAAACTTTCTGATGGGAGTTTGGCTGGAGGGAGCTTTTTGGATGCAGACGGAGAAGAACCGAGAGGTCGGTCCGGGCCCAAAATGTCCACAGAATATAGAACAGAGGGAACAAAGGCCAGAGCCAGACAAGTGATCGGGGCAGAAATCAATGCAGGGATTATATCTCCCTTATCGGGCCTGGACCTGCCTCCTGCAGAGCAAATATCAGCTAAGCAGCCACAGCAACACCCCCGACCGGACAGGATTTCACAAACCAGCGCCAGAGGACAGAATCATTCGGGCTGCAGCAGCTCAGTGGTCAAACCGAAGTTCAGCCAGAACACACTTAAAGACGCTTCAGTGCCTTCGAAGGGCAAAGCTGATCTGAGTAAAGCCTCTCCAGAGGATGCAGAAGATATCTGGGTCGACTCGTACGCACTCAGATACATTGAAAAATTCCACAAGGAGGAGTTGGACGGATGTTTGGAGGGTGTTGACGTGTCCGTCGAGTGTGTGGAAGGCAGCGGCCTCGCTCGGATATCACTGACTCAGAATCAAACCGCCTCGAGCAGCTGGAAGCAAAGATTACAGACTTTGGTGAATGATTTGTTGTCACGTTTAAGAGTTTACGAGATCCCGTACGACTCAACGCAGCTGCCGGACAAACAGAAACTGACTAAGATCTGCAATGAAGTGAATTTGGTGTTTGAAGATGTTCTTTACATGTTGGAGGATTCTTGCATTAAAGTCGTCGGTCCATCGACGTCCAGCTTCTGTTTTCACAGTTTAGTAAAGACCAGGATCAGAAAAGCCCTGAGAATGTAAAGTAAATGGGTGCAGTTTTATCAGTGACCACATGGTGGAGCAGTTGTGCCTTCAAAGAAAAACCCTCTGAATGGATTGGAGACACAGTTGGGTTCATGTGATGGTAATTTATAATAATTATGACTGTACAAATAAATAAAACTGTATGAATTAAGAACAGGCTTCTATTAAATTAAAAATAAAAAAAACCACCTTCCTGTACCCGAGTCTGTGTTTCTATGGCGAAGCCTCCCGTTTGTTTATCCCCGGATTAATAATTAGTCCTTTAAACAGCAGGTTTAAATCCAAGTGATGTTCTCACAGCGGTAGGGATGAGTCTTAATTAACCTCCTCACATCTTAATTACAGATGATAGACTTGTAATTAAAAACCTAAAAAACAGAGAAAACAGATGCCGACGTGTCTCCGATCACGATCCGGTGAACTTTCAGCGCATTAACCTGAGTTTGATCCCTGGATGTGCATGTTAGTCAACAGCAAATGATTTTTTTTGTTTGTTTGTTTCTGAGATGTTTGTAATTTTAGAAAATCTAAATGTCATTTTAATGCAGAATTAAATAAGAAGACAGGAAATGTGTAAATAGGTGCGAGTGAGGCTTTAAAGGCCCCGACAATGTGTTTTATACGACATGTAAACATATAAAATTATTTTGCATAAGAGTTTGTGTCTGATTGCTGTTTTTCGACAAAATAGTTCGACCCTCTTGTAGGAGCTTATTGCACCGTCGACTGCATTTCCAGTGGAGCCTGTAACGGGAGCCCAGCAGGGGGCGCTGCAGCTCTTCCCTCCGGTGTTTCAATATAGAGACGCCGTCGAGCTGCCACGAGTCGCCTCAGTGAAGCAATTATGGAGGCTGGGTTTGGCAAGCAGGGTGCAGATTGGCAGGCAAACGATGTCAGTTGGATGTCCCATTACACACCCTCCACTCGCTCACACACACACAAATTGTTGCACCTTTTTCCCAAGAAAAACCCAAAGCGCCGCCGTGTGAGGATGCTCGGTGCACTCGTGTTGTGTGGAGGCAGTTTTTCTCTTTTTTTTTTTCTCCTGCTCTGCGATTATTCAGATGAGCTCCCCAGCCTCAATAATTGATTCATTATGTAAAAAATAAGCCACGCTGCCGTAATGAACGCACACAAACACAGACGATCTCCCAGACGCACTCACTCCGACTTGTTACCATAGGAACCTAGTGGAAGAGGTTGCCGAGCTGCAGCGTCGTTAGGGGGGGGAGCGCCTCGGATACAATGGAAAGCATCCTGGAGGACGGAGGAATTACATTTCCAGCACGAGAACCCTTCATCAGAGACAAGCAGAGGAGAGAGGGCAGCGCCTCTTAACACCCGGACCTCTCTGCTGCCCGTCTGATCGCTCATCTTCAACAATTACCCATTATCTGGTCAACAAGCAGAACGCAGGAATTCATTTTCCTGAAACGGTCCAGATCCTGGGCCTCCATCACTCCCCCCTCTTCATCGTTTCTCCTCATTATGCAGAACGTATAATTAGGTAACAGCATTTTTGAATATATTAAGCATGTATGACTTTCATGATGGAGGTCAGAACCGGCAGCAGCGGGCAGCAAGAAGACGCATTAGTGTCTTTCTCAAGGACGTTTTCATGCCGGACGAGGTCTGCTGGGGATCAAACCTGTTATTGGACTCGGAATGGATGACTGAGGCCCGGAGCCCTGAGGCCTGTTCCTCTGTTTGATGGTGCTGTTCACATCACCGGTTAGGAAGACAAACAGACCAACACAGGCAGCACAAACACACACAGAGTGACCAAAGAGACACAAAAGCTCCACGAAACCACCGCAAAGAGACGCAGTAACAGAAAATATGTGCAAAATAATCACAAAGAAGCAAAAATACTGATTAAAAAAAGAAACAAAATGATCCCGATGGGACGAAATATTACAAAGAGACACAAAATGACTACAAATAAACTCAAAATGTCTCGATAAAGACACAAAACAACTAAAAACAGACACAAAATGACTAAAAAGAAACATGTTTCCAAAAAGAGATGCAAAATAATTACAAAGCAACAAAATAACTACCAAGAGACACGAAATAGTTGCAAATACACACAAAATTTCCAAAAAGAGATGCAAAGTGACGACAATGAAACACAAAAAGTCGACAAAGACACAAAATGACTCCAAAGAAACACAAAATATCTGCAAAGAGATGCAAAATAAGTGCAGAGAGACAACAAACCTACAAAGTGACAACAACAACAACACGTAGACACAACACGACAAAGAAACACAACAACTACAAAAAAACCCTCAAATATATACGGAGAAAAAAACGACTACAAAGAGTTACAAAAGACCACAAATGCACACAAAACGTCCAAAAAGAGCCACAAGGTGAGAAGAGTAACGCAAAACAGCTCCAAAGACACAAAATGACTACAAACAAACACACAAAATTTCTCTATGAAGAAATGCAAAAGAACTCCAAAGTGACAAAAACAACATAGACACACAAACAACTACAAACAAAAACAGAACGTCTACAAAGATACACAACATTTATGAAGAGATACGAAATAACTACAAAGAAACAAAATAACTACAAAAAGACACAAAATTACAAAAAAGAAACACAAAGTTTCCAGAAAGAGATGCAAAGTGAATACAGTGAAACAAACAACTGCAAAGACACACAAAACAATTACAAATAAGTAGAGCAACGCAAAACAGTTGCAAAGATACAAAATGACTACGAAGAAACACAAAGTTTCCAAAAACATGCAAAATAACTACAAAGTGGCAGAACAACAAAGAGACACAAAATGACAACAAATAAACATAAAATTACTAAAAAAGAAACATAAAATTTCCAAAAAGAGATGCAAAGTGACAACAATGAGACACAAAAACTCTACAAAGACACTAAATGACTAAAAAGAAACACAAAGTTTCCAAAAACAGATGCAAAATAACTACAAAGCAACAAAACAACTACAAATTATGCAAAAATTCCAAAACAAGATGCAAAGTGACGACAATGAAACACAAAATATCTGTAAAGAGATGCAACATAAGCACACAGAGACAACAAACCTACAAGTGACAATAACAACAACACAGAGACACAACTACTAGAAGACACAATGTTTACAAAGAAGCTCTCTCTGAGCCCGTCCATGGATCAGGTGGTACCGTTCAGAACCACTCCAGCTGTTGTCTTTACCACTGATTGTGTGTTTTGTCGTGTTCAGACGCACACGTCCTGGAGGTCGGAGGTCAGACAGACGAGCAGCGCCTCATTCGTCTCCTCGCTGAGGAACGAGGCGGCCGTGATGGATGATCTTCTCCAGGCGATGTGTGCGCGCACGTCGCTGCCACAAATTACATCTTAATGATTCTCTTTACAGATCATCACCCCGCCCCAGAGAAGGGAAGCAGGGAGGGATGTGACTGTTGCCCCCCACTGCTCTGCCTAAATGTTGCCGGGTATTAGCGAGCTGTGATGGAGGAGCCGTGGAGGAGAAACTGGAGGCAACAGACCACGGAAATGGTTTGTGTGTGTTCGCCGTGGAAGAAGGACGGATGGTGTTTAATTGGTCCAACAACATACGAGCCTTAACGTAAGCAGACGCTGTAATCTGTGAGAGTTCTGCAAATGGAGCATAAGTGTGACTGATGGTCAGTGTTTAACGTTCAGGTCCTCGGAGCTGCACCACCTCGCTGAGCGCATTAGTCGTGGGCTTATCAAGGCATTTCACCCCAAATATTAATCATGTCTTCTTTAGTGAAAGTTTATAACCTTGGTTCAGCATTATGGCCCAAAGTATTGCAGAAAGCCAGGAGTCAAGTAGCTTAGCTTAGCTTAGCATGAAGGCTAGTTAGGCTAGCTCGTATCTCATATGTTTAAACTGTACAATGAATGATACGTAAACGTAGCTTTTCAAAAAGAAAGCTTCTGAGGTGTTAGTAGGTGTGTTTAGGAATGAGTCACTCTTGCATCCACACCTGATGCTAAGCTAGGCTAACTGCTTAGCTTCATACAGTATTTAGAATTCAGGTTCTAGCATGGTATCAAAGACACAACTGGAAATGTGTAACCTTCCTCATAACATTCACATATCATCATCATCATCTGTCATTTGTGTGCGTTAGCAAACAGCTAACGTTTAATGATTTTTATTTGTCTCTGCTCAGCTGATCCAGTGTTTCCTCGGCTTATTTTTAATAGAATAGAACTACTTTACTGTCATTGCACAGGGTACAACGAACTGAGAGTGTTTGGCAGAGTTCAGTTCTCTTCTGGGGTAGAAGCTTGTTTGTTTGTGATATGATGGACCTGACATGTCGACCAGTGGGTCAAACAGATGGTGTTCAGGAAGGAGTTGGTCCTTCAGGATGGTTGTTGCTCTACTGAGGTAGCAAAAGCTGAACGAGTCCTCCAAAGAGGGCAGTGGGCAGCCGATGGTCCTCTGGGTGGTGTTGATGATCCTGTAGGGATTTCCTGTCTCGTAGAAGGACACCAGCAGCTTCTGATGGTCCTCTGGAAGTGGAGTGGCTGCAGCGGTGTTGGTCGTCCAGTAGAGACCTTCATCATTCTGTCTACCCAGGAAGCCTTTCTACACTGTGGATCAGGGTCTGCTCGGTTTTAAAGAAGTCTATGATGAGTTCCTGTGTTTTTATGGAGTTCAGGACCAGATTGTTTGTTGAGCACCACGCTGTCAGTATTTGGACGACTTCCCGAGCAGATGGACTAACCTCCTGGTGACTTAAGTTGTCTGAGAACTTAATAATAGTGATAAATCTGTTCCCTTGTGTTAAAGAGCGAGCATGGCAGTGGTGGGATTTGAACCCACGCCTCCGAAGAGCCTTAATCCAGCGCCTTAGACCACTTGGCCCGGGGTGTCCAATCCTGGTCCTCGAGGGCCACAATCCAGCATGTTTCAGATGTTTCCTTCTTCCAACACACCTGATTCATATGATCAGCTCATCATCAAGCTCTGCAGAAGCCTGATAACGATCCTGATCATGTGCACCCCTGCTCTAAACTCTCCAACAGTTACTCCTACCAGTTTGTGCAGCTGCAGCCTGAAAAATCAAAACAATAACCTGAAAGATGCTAAAACTCCTCCCTGAAAACCTGCCAGATACCAGTCGGTACGTTCATGTGCACATTCAAGGCATTAAAAACTCAGCGAGCTGCCAGCTGGGATCTGAGGACATCCATCCAGAACAAGGCAAGGTATGAATCATTCAGGTTTAAACAAACCCCAGATTAGCTCGACTTATGTTTAAGACAAAACAAAAGCCAAAGATTCTTAATCAAATTGAGTTTTAAGCATCCATCACAGTTGCTGCAGTCGTGAGATCACCGGGGCGGCCTCAGGTCACTCTGGTCAGACGTCCACCGGCGTCCCTGAGGGCCTGATATTTTCATATGAGGATAATTTAATAATATTTTAAGTTAATTCGATTTGTGTCGCTGCCATGTCATCAGTTTGGTACCCTTCAGGTGCACCAGTGTCCTTCTTAGTATGATATGAAACATAAGAAACCAGGACTTACCAGCAGCCACTTTAATGCAACTAAAAATGTTCAAATGGAATCAACACTTGAGGCAGTTTTTTACTTCCCAACACTGCTGGTTTGTTTACAGCCCGTCCAGCCACATTTGTCGGC